TAAGGGCCCGGGCAACTGCCCTAGAATGAAAAAAGGCTGAGCCGGGCCACTGTGAGCCGCCTGACGCACGACGCTGAACTTGCAGGCTGGGATGCTGCGTGCACGAACGTCAATCGGGCACCAGAACAGACTCCCATTTCTGTGCCTGGAAGGTCAGGTAGAGGCAGATGCTGAAATCTTCCAAGTTCTGGTGGTGGGACAGACCTCCGCCACGCTGGTTTTGCTTTTGGTGTCAACTCAACATGGACAGCAATTCAAAGGCAATGTCAAGAAATCTGTCACGCAAGGTGCAATGTGCGATTGACGATCCACAGCGTGCCGTTCCAGACCTGCACGAAACTGAAGGCAACAGCCAGTGATTCTGCAGCTTTTTGCCATGCTACATCTATACCTAAGCCTAGATCACTGCTTAAGGCCTCCAAATTCTGTGCCGTCGAACTCTGCGACTCAAAGTGCTGAGCAACGCTTACCTCGCCAACACTTCGCTAACACTCACAAAAGCCTTGAGGCTACCGGCTACGTGCGAACTCTCCTAGATACAGTTGAAGTTCGGATGCTGTCGCCACCGCCTCGTTTCACCAGGTTGATGGCCAAGGCGAGCGATTTCAGAGAGACACTGGCACTGGCAATTTCGCGGTGTCTGCCCGTGATAATAGCGTGACAGGAGTTTCTAAAGTATGCTGAGTATGATGGCTGCCCTCGGCATGGACGGCGAGCAAGCACACTGCATGCAACCCAGCTGCACACTGCACGTCAACGGCTTCGTCGAACGCCTTATCGGAACCATGCCAGAGTCTGGGGCCGTCGACCCTTTCAGGGAGCAGGGCCCAGGTGCAACTTCGCGTCACGGAATGGCAGGATCCTTGTGACACGTGCGTCGCATGCCACCCAAAAACCTGCTCCATCCTCCGAGAGAGGCGCCAAATCCCACGACTCCCAACCCGCTGAGCCCGCTTGACCCAAAACCCACCATGTCGAAGTCTACCACTGGGGTGCCCAACGATACCAATCCACGCGTTCTGAGCCCCCGTAGGCGAAGACCAAGCCTGACCATGAGGGTTTTACGAGGGTTTCGGGAAATTGAAAGCAGAGTCTCAGAGGCTTTGGGCGACTCGCTGCTGTTCTAGTTGACACTCATGGACGTAGGCCCAGACAGAACGCCTTCAAGCCCAATCCAATTTTTATTCTTGACATCCAAGCGCCGCCAGAAAACATATAAGTTTCATGACACACATATTAGATCATATTAGATACACACCTCTGCACTTCGCCCTAAACCCATCACGCACGTGCAGGCCGTCGCCAGGAGGCCATCCTCGGCACGTTCGGCACCGCCACGAGGCCGAGCAAAGGTGATGCCCGAGACGGGCACCGTGCCTGTCGGTCGTTCCTTTTGTTTCAGGGGGCCTGAGGATGCTTGAGGGGGGTTTAGCTTCTCTAGGAGCAGCCCATTGACGGCTAGGTCTTGTCCAGGTGGTTGAAAGTGGAAGTGGGAACACAAGTCCCCAAGAAAAAGAAAAGATGCCTTCAACATGGTGGCACCTATGTGGCAAGGAGTATAGAACACAGGTCCTCCCTGCAAGTAGACATCACGGAGCGCATCCTAGAATCCGCGAAGGTCGGGGATCGTTGGGGGATTCAGACTTGCCCATGAAGAGGGGATGCACCTGCATGGCGCCCACTCCACCCACTACATCCATTGGGGTTGAAGTTCTGCACGTGCCAACCAGGGCCAACAAGTTGCAGAGGTCATCACTGAAGAACCGCATCTCGTACACGGCCCATGCGTTGACCTCGCTGCCAGAGAGAAGCCATTGTTGCAAGTACTCGCCAAATCTGACTATCTGGTCGAGCTGCACTACGGGGCAGGGCGCAGAGTTACTAGGAAAAGGCATGCCATGAACTGCAGGCAACCGACGCCCAGTGGAGCTCGCAGCCTCCACTGTGCTTGCGCGGCACAGTTGGGGAGCAGCTGCACACCTGCTCTATAAGCACTGGAAGCAATTGGAAGCACTACCTGTAGGCAGCTCTGCAAAGCCATCTAACTCGCAACAATGACAGCAAGCAAAAATCTTGCTTGCAAAAAGAGCTAGACAAACTAAACAATCTTCATTATCATTGCTCTCACCAAATTATTCCAAATTGGCAACACACCGCACCACACTAGGAGTGACTGACGGAAAAGGCGACGCGATCTTGAGTAAGAAGCTGACCAAAACCTACTGCACCTGGCGCATATATTTCTTCACCAACTTGTTCACCGATTGACTACCATCAAGCAGAAAACGGCCTTCTGGCTCCGTGGCACTGGCCACTTCGAAATTGCAGGCCTCTGGGTTTTGTGACTTAATGCTTTCGGCTCTCACACCCTCAGCTGGCGAGGTATATGGTGCGAAATTCGCAAAGCAAGTTTGTTAGGCTGGCCTGGTCGGCAACTTTCGGCCCGTGTCGGTTAGCCCAACGTCATAGAGTGTTCAGTTCAAGGCGGCCAGGGGAGGAGCTCTGCTCTTACGGAACACAACTAGTCTGCTGTCCTGCGTTAGGAAGCACGGTCAAATGAATCATAATGAATCCAAGTAGCTGCATCTGGAGGCATCCTGTTGCTCCCGGCCCGCCCTTTCTACACACACACCATTAAGGCTCTTCTCCGGCGTGGCCTCTGGCCTTTCTAAACGCATCATATTCCGAATGCCCACAAAACATTGCCAGCTTCCAGGCAAAGCCAGCCGCCAAGCCAAATGGTGTGTGAGGCACAAACCCCAAACCCATCATCATGCGCACTCCTGAGCTGCACCCAGCCCGCAGGCAGGTCGCCAAAGCGCTGTAGTGCGTTCCAGGAGCCAGAGCCTCAGGATGCGTCGTTCGTGATCCGCTGGCATTCTGGCAGAACCTGGCGCAACCCTGCTAGCCAGATCGCCCCTTTTCTTTCCGACGATGTCTTTATCTGTGTCATGCTCAGGATCAGGGTGCCAGAACAAGCATGAAAGCTACAGTTGCTTTGTATTCGGCAAGGGCCAGTATCTGTACAGCTGGCAGCAAGCTTGCGCACACTTGGAGGGAAAGCTCAGACATCCTGGGCCTAGTTACTAGACCAAGCAGCCTGAGGTCGAGCAGCGTCATGCATCCGATTCCAGCTTACTTGATGAGTTTCCAATGACAACATGAAACATGCAAAAGACGCCTTTCGATGCCATCATCTCCCACCGCACAAAGCAGTGTGGAGTGAAGCAGCACATTAGCAAGGGGTGGCGAGATCAGGTGAGCTGCAGCCTAAAAACTGCAGTAGACCAACAAATGTTGGACTGAGCATGCTTTCCATGCCCACCAGAACATTGGCTCCAAGCCATCTTGCCATCCAGCCAATGCACCCTTGCCTTTAATTTACTATAACTTTAGTGAGGACCCTTGTGCAACAGAACCCTGCAGTGACTGATGTTGGGCTTCGGCTTTGGCGTGGATGTTCTTGCGCATGTGAAGCCGTCTTCGCTTCACCGCTTTGGAAGGAGCAAACGCCGGCTCGAAATCGAGCCCGATCACAGGGGTTTTGGGGGTTTTGGGTTTTGGGGCTTGGGGCGACCACTTGCTCGCAGATCAGAGGCTGAAGACTTCGGACCCACATCGGGAACAGATGACTGAGACGGAACCCTCAAAGCTCTGCAACCCAGAATTGTCTTTTGTCGGGAGGTTCAATGAGTCCCGGGCTTGCTGCTCACGCCTTTGCTGCTGAAGGGCCCTGCCCGATTTGATGTAATGTTCAAATCCTGCAGGGTGTCGATCAACGGCGATGAGGAATTCCTGGAGGTCGGCTTCGTGTGCAGCCCCTCGCCAGCCACCAGGAACTGCAAAATTCGGCCGTGGAGCACCACCTCCTGCTGGAGCATGGGAGTCCTCCGAAGTCCAAGTGGTGCACCTTCTGGAACTCATCGAGGGACCGTCTTGGGAGGGCGTCTGGCTTCTGCCTGGCTTCTCGTGCGTACCGCGCAACGAGAGGAGCATCTTCAAGAAACTGACCATGACACCGGCAAGAATCAAAGACGCTGCGCTGCACAAGGACTACGTACGAAGCTCTTGAAGCTCTTGAGCCAAAAACCCGGCGCAGTTCGGTCCTGGCGGATTGGTTTTGCAGGGCATCAGCGCTGCACCAGACAGTGTCCGCGGGCGCATGCCTTGACTTTAGCGTCCACTGTGGCCACCAGCCCAACGAGATGACTGGGGTGTCTAGACATGCTATGCAGGTTCGGACAACACTGAGCCTCTAAAATCTCAGCCCTTTCCTCTTGACGTTCCTTTCTCTGGCTTTATGGGCCCCATCCACCCCACCCCTCCGCCCACCCTGCTTGTGATGGCGCAAATAATCCGCACCACTACGGATGAGCGAGACTACGACTGACCAAGCCTCGTGGACGGTATCTTGCGTTTTTCTGAAGGTGCCTTGCAACTGTGAACCCTTTTCAGACTGAAGGAGCCTGCGTCACTCCAGCCCTCCAGGGTGACTCCGCTTGCAGCCTGAAGATGGACAGGAAACTGCTATGCCAATGCTGCGGATGGACCTTGAAACTTTTCACCAACTACTGTCCTATGACTCACTGCAACTGGCGTCAAGCTTCGAGGCCAACTCCTCCTAAATCTAGTTGTTCGTCCACCCCTCCTCCCGAAACCCTGCTCAGGTACCTCGCCCCGGAGCTCAGCGCAGCCCAGCGCCGCCGGCGCTGCCAGCACCAGGCCCACCCAGGCGCCCAGCTCCCAGGAGTCCTTTCAACTTTCAAGGGTTTTGGGATACTTTGGGATACTTTGGGGTTCTTTGATGTTTAAGTGATGTTGAAAGTGTTTCGTTCACTTCTTGTGATGGCCTCCAGCTTAGACGGATGGGATTTGACAGACCTCACGTTTCAGATTGCTCTCTGCGCAACCTCAGATTTCGTGCAAATACGTCAGATGCCATGTGGCAATATGCTGCACACATGGAACAGGCGGCTGGGTGCTTTTTTTGCTGGCAACTTTCAAATCAGATCAACGATATCAACCGAGGACTGTACTTGCCCAGCGGCGACCATGGCTTTCATCTTTGCAGCCAGACCTCCAACGAAGGCTGCTTTGAGCTTCTTCTGCGCGAGAAAATCACTTGCCTGCTGCTCGAAGTTGCCGGCGTAGAATTTCAAGGTCTCCCACCGATTGTCGGATGTTAGGACCGTCAGCACATGGGCACTTGGGGCACTTGGAGCACGTGGGGCACACGGCTCACGGAGATCACGGTGCTCCGGGGGGATATCTCGGGCCGGTGAGCTGCGTGGTGGCGGTGGGAGGAGCTCCGAGCCACAGGCCGCGGACACCCTCCAAGGAATCCCTTCGACCGAACGCGCATCCTGCCACTGTAAGCTGGAAGGTGTTCCACAGAACGCTGGACTTCCTTGGACAGGTGACCTTGCTTCAGTTGAGATAGGGCTGGAACGAAGTGAAGTTGAAAGCACTTTCGCTGGCACAGGTGACCTCGAGCCGCAGGCCGCGGTGGGCTGTGCCATCTCTGCCTGCGCTATTTCCGGTTGGGAGAGCACCGATGCCACCGTGTTGCCACTCCTTTCAGTGCCAAGTGCAGGCACGGCGTGCGTATATGACGTTGGGCCGAGGATAAGCTTTTGTACTTCCGGTTGTGCTGAAGAAGTTCCCCCGGAAGTAATTTGATGGATCCAGGAGCCAGCAGTCGTCTGGTCCTGGCGCGAGCCTGTCGACTCGGATGATGCAACAAGCTTGGCCTGGTGCTCATGCACTTCCAGGCGCAGCTGCTCCTCCTGGGCTTCTCGCCGCCGAAACTCGAGGTTTTCGTGGGCTTCGAGCTGGCGCAAGCGCTCCGCGGATTCCTGCTCCAGCTGTGTCATGCCACGCTGATGCTGAAGCAGCTCCATCCGCAGCTGCTCTTCTTGGCCTTCTCGCCGTCGAAACTCGAGGTCCTCACGGGCTTCGAGCTGGCGTAAGCGCTCGACAGATTCCTGCTGCAGCTGCAAAAAGCCACGCTGGTGCTCAAACACCTCCATCCGCAGCTGCTCCTCCTGGGCTTCTCGTCGTCGAAACTCGAGGTCCTCGCGAGCTTCGAGCTGGCGCAAGGACTCGACAGACTCCTGCTTGAGCTGCGCCATACCACGCTGATGCTCACGCACCTCCATCCGCAGCTGCTCCTCCAGAGCTTCTCGCCGTCGAAGCTCGAAGTCCTCGCAGGCTTCGAGCTGGCGCAGGCGCTGCGCCGACTCCTGCTGAAGCTGTGCCATACCATGATGATGATCAATCACTTCCATTCTCAGTTGTTTCTCCTGGGCTTCTCTTCGTCGAAGCTCGAGGTCCTCGCGAGCTTCGAGGTGCCGCAAGCGCTCCGCAGACTCCTGCCTCAGCTCCGCCGCGCTATGCTGGTGCTCAAACACCTCCATCCGCAGCTGTTCCACCTGGCCTTCGAGGTGCCGCAAGCGCTCCGCACTCAGCGCATCCGAAGGCGTGTCGTGGTGCGTGGCAGGGAGCAGCCGTGCCTTTGAGGGAGGCGAGCCAGAGGCAATGACCTCCATCAACCCCTCCGCTCCGTCCGCACTCGGTGCAGCGGCACCCCACGAAACGCTTTTGGATCCTTTTGGGCTTTCCACGTTGGCGAAAGTGGGCGCTGAAAAGTCCGAGTACACACTTCGCCCCTGATGCTCCGCACATGCCCGGACGCGGAAGGCGCAAGACTTTGTGACCGAGTCGATGAGGCACCTTTGCACCGCCTCTGCCTGACCTTCGAACATGAAGCTGCGAACTCGGGTGCGACCACCGCTCCCCTGGGAGAGCTGTTGCACCTCAAAGCTGGTCGACGGGCCCACGGAGCCCACGGCACGCCAGCTCAGTTCCACTCCTTCAGCGCTTTGTCTGAGACAGAACTCCTCGGGCACTTTCAGCTCTGGCGCAGCGTCCTCCTCGGCGTGCATGTGGGCTGTCGGGGATCCTGGGCCTAACTGGCCCAACTCCAGCTCGGCCAATCGCTCTCTGAGCATGGCCTGCTGCCTTTGCAGTGTGGCCTTCTCGCTGTTGAGGTCTCCTAAGAAAGCCGCCAGCATCCGCACTCGGCCCTCCAAGCGAAAACAGGTCTGCACAAGCTGCTGGTCCGAAAGGATCTCCAAGTCTTCCAAGCCCAGCCTTGTACCCATTGCAGTCGCCATGGCAGTCGCCATTGCAAGCGGCCAGGAAGGCTTTCAGCACGCTTTAAGCTAACCAAGCGCAAGCTCGTCGCGATGAGTATCCCAATCACACTTCCCGCCGACTTCGTTTGCCACCGGCGTTTGCCCTCACTAATCTTGCACTGCTCATTGGCATTCAGGAGTCTAACTGGGCCGTTTGCTAGTATAGAGGGTTTAGGTTCATGGCAGGCTGAGGCCCCTAATCGAGTTGAAAGCGGGAGCCCGAAGTCGGCAGATTGCTGCACAGGATTGCGCAGGCAGGTTATGGTAGGTTGGGAGAGCCCCGAGCTTAGCAAAGAGGCAACGCAACCTTTTGAGACTCAAAAGTGGCTGAACAGTTTACCCAGAATCCCACGCGAAGAGCCCTAAACTCCTTGAAGCCTAGAAGCCATTACCAAGCGCTATACCAACTCTAGAATGGATATCGGGTTCCTACTAGTACCAACCAGCTTGACTTGTTGATAACACAGAACAGAACACGTCTGCCTGAACATGACCAGAATATGGCCTGATCCCGTAGCCGCAGCCCTTAAGATTTCTCTGCTGGGATGATTGGCCCACGCCTTTCAATCAGCTACGGTCCGCAGTTTGATGGAGTGTCTGAAGAGAAAATTCAGGGCGCAAGCCCTTGAAACGTACATAAACATCTACATAGAGACGAAACAAAATTATCCTAGCCATGAAGCCGGACCATTCGGCTGAGGTACACTGCCGGGTACATGCACGTGGAAGCGGGCAAAACTAAGCCCAATGGCCCTGCATTGTGCTCCCGAAAACCGCGCCTGGCATGTGCGGGCCGAGTCCACGCCGGCCCGGCAGCGAGCCTTGGCGGCATTTCCAGCAGTCACTACGTACCCTTAAAAACGGGTCCATCATGTTGTGCATACTTGTACCAATTTTCAATATGATCCCCATGGCAGCCTCAGCTCTCTGATGTTTGTTTTCTCACCCTCTCTGTCTCTCTATTTGGTAAGTTTGGCTAAGGGACCTGGACCTACAGTGGCACTTAGCATCAGCCGTTAAAGACAGCGAATTTAGGTGCTGAAACCGATGTGGCCTCCCAGGTCGAATTGGCATCTGCATCAAATGCCTGGCCAGGGAAGAACATCTCCGCAGCTCATGCTGCATTATCTATCCGGCTCCGGGCGCGTGAGTGGCAAGAATCTATGCCCGAACTACGCAAGAAAAATCGCTTCAACGAATGGGATTTTGACAGCTGATGCGGTTCATGGGTGACGGAGTAGTTGCATTCATGAATGAACTGCTGCAGCACCCTGAGTGACCAGTTCTCCCTGTATGCCGCCATCTTGAAATACCGTCCGATCTCCTCTGCGCGCTCACACAAAGGCCGTGACACATCTGCCCAGCGCGCAGGGTCTGTTCGGACTCCATGCCAGATCTCCCAGCCATGAGCAAACGTGCGAAGCGGATGACAAAAGTACTGCTGCCTCCACAGCTGCCAACTACTCATTACCTTAAGCCATGGTACGGCCCATCCAAGGTCCGACCGAAGGAACAGAACATTGTGCCCAGGTTCAACGAGACCTGCGAGCACATAGCTGCTGCCAAGGGTTTCTTCAACCGCTGCCAGAGAGCAGCCACGACGCCTAAGGTTGTCACGCCAACTTTGGGGTTGCTCGCAGTCTGCTGCTGTGCACTGCACCGCCGGATTAAATCGAACCCGCAGAACAAAGGGCGGCGGCACGGTCATGAGCATGACCTCGACGTGGATCAGTGCTGGCTGTAAGGGAAGCAGCTCCTCCAAGAAGTCACAATCTCCATTATCTACATCCACCTTCAGCAGGTCGGGGGATCCTGCCAATCCTGCCGGCCTTTCCTTGCGGACCATCTCCAAGGCCTGGTTCGGAGCGAGGCGGCCAAGCACCACCACATCCTGGCGGCTCGCCAGCGACTTGCGCAGAGCCCTCTCCAAAGAGGGCTGTGCTTCAACCTGTACACCACCAAAGCCCTCTGCGATAAGGCAGTTGGCCATGTCCTCTTTATTCCTGTCACAGGAGCCGTCGCCGGCGCCCAGGTTCACCACCCACTTCGACGTGGCCGCCCCAGCATCCCTCAAGGCGCTGAGGATCTGGAAAGGGTCAACACCCAAGAAGGGTATCCCACCGAAGTGATGGAGCTGCAAGGATCGGAGGGGCGGATCGAGTCTTCCGAGCCAAGGAAACCCATATGCGTCGCAGAGACCTCGTGGAACAAAGCTGCTTTGCATAGTGAAAGGCGCTGGAAGGCCAGCTACCCCACCTCCCTCCCCTCCACTTTGCTGAAGAGTTCTCATCGTTTCCGAAAGCACATCTTGAATAAACACGGAGGGGTCCCGCAAATAGGCATCACATGCACCAAACCTGGAGCACACTTCCAACAGCAGGTCTCCCATCGCATCTGCTGCGCACGTCAGGAAGCGCGTGGCACAAAGCATCACCCGCAGGGCATTTAATGTCTCGAAAGCCTTTGCCAGATCCCAGGCCTCACCTCCGCCACTCTGCTCACGATGGCTGTAGGCATGTGCCAGCGCCCACTCAGCTGTGCGATGAACCTGCTGGAACAATGCTGTTGTCATCTGAGCAACACGCACATTATCTTCGCAAAGCTCACTGCCGAATGGTGGGCAATGAGGCAGCGACATCTCCCCAAGCATGCTTGTTTACGATCACAACAGCTCCATCGCATTGCGGATTCCTACAGCGAGCATGTAGGAACAAGCAAAACCTTTTTACCCGTTCTTATAGAACCCTTCATTGTCCTTCATTCTTGTGTTCTCCCTATCCGATATCCGTTCCTATAGAATCCTTCAACCTTGCATTCTCCAAGACCTCTCTGAATGAGCAAAGGTCGGCTGCGGCACCGTGACCTACCAGTATGAGTACGCTTCTGTCAGCCGAACGATTGGTCGAATGTCTTGGACGTTGGAAGCAGTTCCAAACCTGGTCGCCCACATGTTGAACCACGTTTGGGATCCACTAGAACTTGCATACAAGCGGAGGAAGTGTTCCAAACCAGTGGTCGATGCTATGATGGTGGATGTTGCCTGGGGTAGCAACATTCGATTCAGCTGCGGCTGAAGAAACCAGCTATATGGCAGCTAGAGCATGATATCATTACAAGAGTCTGCATCAACCAAACCTCCCAAGACTCTCCGAACTATTCCAAACGTACTCAGCCCGAACAAAGCAACTTGCTAAGCATGAAACTAACAGCCCCCTCTAAGACTCTACTGTACAAAACCAAGTCCAAACGCTGAACGGGGGGAGCCTTGTTGACCTCTCCCAGGGAGCTGATGAGCTCTGTTGGGGCCAACGGCTCCGAGCAGTTGATGTCCGAGTAGAATCGCAGCTCCTGAGCTTCACAAGGCTTAGTCACTTAGTGTTGGAGGCGGCAAGGTGTGCATAGGGTAGCACTCAGGTTCAGGAGCGGCACATGGCTCTGGACAGGAAGCGATGTCGCAAATAAATCTGAAGACAAGCATACGACGCACGCGCCGATCGTGCGCTCGCGGGCGGCGTTTACGTGGCGCGCGCTTGCAGAAGACATTGGCAGGGCGATGCAAGCATGGATCGCTCCAAAGGTTTGGCAACATTGTTTCAGGTGGGTTTCGAAGCAGATCGTGCAAGAATTGCATTTGGAGTGCCGTGCCCAAGAATGACATCACTTAAGCAAGAAGAGGGTTTTTGCCCAAGCACGTGAGGTTCAGGTTAAAGTCGCCGAAACGCCTGTTGGAAACATCTGCCGAGACCTCGAACGGTACCTCTCCCCTTTATTTGACTTTCTTGCAGGACCAGGGGGCATTTGGGCCCGACCAAGCGAGGCGGACACCACCCTCCCACTCCCCATCCCCCCACCGGACCTTGTTTGCTTGCCTGCGTGTTACAACAGGATCCCCAACAGCACCTTCACACCCGCGATCTCCGGCTTGGGTTGCCTGAGGCGGGTCGCATAGCATTAATAAATTAACTATTAACTAGCTGATCACAGATGCTCTGCACTGCTGACATGGGCATGATCAGCGTTCGGGCATGGATGCTGTCGGGCAGAGATACTCCCAACGCAATTGTCATTTTCCTCACAGGTATAAAAACACATTCAACACACGTAAGGAAACACGCTAGAAAACGTCGGGCGCATAAGTGCCGCTGTCGTGTTCATTTGATCGAGGGCTCACTCGTTGCACTATTGTTTTTGTTCGCGCAGCCTTTGTCTTTAACATGATTTTACGATCATAATCTGCGCGGGCCAATTAATTGAAAGACAAATTCCCGTGAGCAGCATAAGGCAGCATGGACTAGCATGGACGTGGCATCGTCGTTCTGTGGGCAGTGGGTGCCCAGGCAGCACGAGCATGGATGCCTTGGAACCACGTGAATAGCACTCGCGAATGCACGACGCGGAGACAAAAACCCGACTCCTCAGTCGGAGCGGGCTAAAGTAAACAACCCGAAACAAGTATAGGTACACGATATGAGAAACTCTCGTGGAGTGTGCCGGGTTAAAAGTCAGAGGAAGATGCTTTAGGGCTTGCGAGCGGCGGCCACCACCCAGGCAGCTGCCGCGGAGGCGTCGTAGGCGTCCTCGGGTCGCGGGCCACCGGCCACGCGGAGGCCTTGTGAACTCGTACTATCCCTAAGTGGCGGTCTATCGTTTTATACGGGTCTTGGCGGACTTTTGTCCGAGGTTTGAGCAAAAAAAACTCGCGAGGAAAATGCTTGGGAGCCAACCACGGAACTCTAGCAAGGGCTTGTGGGAGGAGATGGGGCGAGCTTTGATTTTTGGAAAACATGCGAGGCTCGGAGGCTTCATGGTTGAGCATTCGGGACCTGGGCGGATTTGACATGGGCCTCTGGAAGCATGCCTTGCACAACGTCCCATTCTAAGGGGCATGCCGCATGCCCCCGCAGCCTACCAGGTGGTTGAGTGAAACCAAGAAACCCAATAACGTCAACTGTTTGAGTTTTTGGCCAAGTCACGGTATCTGTCGAACACGCTTTCTGCCCACACCGCCGTGAACACCAGCAGCACGCTGCGCATTGCATTGCAGTTTATTTGCTGCAGGTACGGTACAAGCGTGGGACGACCGGCCAAAACATGTTGGTCTTTCTATGCACTTGCTGCTGATACCGTGTGCGTGTGTGTGTGTGCCTCGCTGGAAACGCCGCCCAACTTGGAAGGACTGCCGCTTTTAATAGGGCTTTTTGCTTTGCCTTCAGCTGCCCGGGCCAATCTTGGCCACTAGCACACGCTAGTTTGTAACCGATGCCAACAACAAGGACGCCCACCAGCCGAAGCATCGAGCTCTCCGCACTCCTTTTGTGCCTCCTGCGCTCGCCAAACCGGAGCTCTCCAGTGCGCTCTAATATCGGCTAGTTAATTCGAAAAGTTGTTTTGGGTGGCTTCCTTCAGAAATTGTAACATGTAACTATATCACCTGTATACCCACCTGTAGACTTGTAGAGACAGTAATCGGTAATTGACGAGATGTTGATTTAAGGCTCTTGTGCTGCACAAGCAAAACTTCACTGAGGACTGGTGGATTCATCCGGCTGCTCGGCAGCTTGCGCAAAAGCAGCCAGGCCCTGCAACACATAGTGCAGCTCAACGTGCCCCGAGCGGAAATAACGACCAGTGAACCAGACGTACAGTCGCAGCCCATAAAACATGGCATTCCAATCGGACAGCAGCCTTGAGAACCCTCTAACTGCGACGTTTGCCACACTTCTTTTCCCGCCTTTGGCGTGCGTGTGAGGATGAGCTGTGTGCTCGCTCATGCCAGGCGGATCGGGTGTGGAGGACGCAGTTCTCCGGCTTCCACCGCCATCCGCAGCCCGGCTCCTAGCTTTCTAGCAGCACAAAAAGGCCCAGCGTGCGAAGCAAAAAAACTGCGTCCTTCCGCCGGCTTGACACGACGGGCAAAGCCTGACAGAAACCACCTTTCTTGGGTGTCAGTAACGGTATGGGATTGGAATGTGTTGGAGGGCTTCAGTTGGAAACGGCTTTGCAAGAACTTCGTGTCCCAGTCCGACAAGACATAGACTCAAGACTGTTCAGATCATCTCTCACTTCAAGCGAGCCTGCACTACTGGACCCAAGGAGGCTTTTCTTCCTTTGGAAGTGCCCCTTGGCTCTCTGGGCTCTCTCGCCAGCTACTTGCTGAGCTGTCTGAGGCTGATCCAACTAAAAATCAAAGGCTGAAAGCAGAAGTTCTCAAAAGAGCTTGGCCGAGCACCATGGTTAGCGACGCGGCGCTGCTCGAACTAATGCCTGCAGCAAAAGAGTGGTACATCTTGGACCTCTTGCCGAAACTTTTGAGGGTTCAGTGGTGTCGGCACAAAATTCTTCCTCGCGCATGGAGGTCATTTGATGCCGTGTGACGGAATTCGGATTAGCATGCTTCTCATCACTGCAACTGCGTGCATCGCCCTGGGAAGAGCAACTCTGCGCCATCGCGTCGTTCTGAAACCGTATACTTTCGAAAAAGAGGGAGGGTTTCCGGAACGTACTCTACGCACCCAATCATTTTAGAAGAAAAGCTCGGGTGTGCAGCCTCCGAAGACAAGGCAGATGATGGGTACGCGCGTAAAAGCAAATCTGAGGGTTCCACAGCTGGAGGACGTCGCTGGCAGCTGGAAGGTCGGGCTTTGCAATGCGCGTTGGAGGCTGTGTGACTGGAGTCTTGTCGCACGGCTTGCAAGATGCACAGCTTAGCATCCGACAAAGCATGCCAGAGATGATTAGAAGGGTTCAGGGCGCGGAAGTGTGCAACAATTCCTAAGATTCTGAAGGGGAACGCCAAGCTACTACCAGACACACCATCTTCATCTGTAGTGGAGGTGGCGCTCGTTGAAGACGATTCCTGTCAGTCAATGAACTGTCTGTGCACAAAGCACTCGTGAAGAAGCACAGGCTCTGACATGATCTGACGAAGGTGGCCCAGGGCGGCTTTACAAACCAGCATGGCGCCGCGAGCAATTACGGTCTAAAGTCTCCTCTTCCGTTGTGCTGAACGTGCTGGATGGAGGTGGCCTGCATGCTCACATGCAAAGATGCACTATTCTGCATCCAAAGTGGTGCCCGCTGTATGAGACAGAGCTCCGAGCAGTCTCAGCTGAGAGAGAGCAACAAATTCGTTCGACAACGTTGAACAGGCGTAGAGAGGGTGGTGGTGGGTAACTCTGACACGAACTGCCATGATCGCAGCCACGGCGCGGCGTGCAGCTGCCACAGGAGAGTGGACCTATGAAGGGTCAAGGGGATTGATGGGCAGTTTGCACCCTCGAAGGGTCTAAAGAGTTCGTGGCATGTTTGTGACGCACAAAACCTCAGCTAGTGGAACACGTTGGCCAAGCAACAATACCTTAAAACCATGTCTTCGACCACTTGCTCGTAGCCTCAGCTTGAGATGGGAGGTGGCTGCGGCTCGCAATGCGCGGCAGTTTTTACTGCGATCTTGCGAACTCCTCCCTGAGTTTTAGCTGCATGGGAATATGTTGGTCAAACTCCCAGTCATGGAAGCACATGCCGCCTCAATGGCATCCCTGTCATCTATGCTGCTCCGAGAGGCTGAAGACTTCCTGGGATGAGGGATGAAGAGATCCAAAACAAAAAAGTGGCCAACCCCCCTCCCCTCAAAGGCATGAAGTGCACGAGGTGCGCGGGTTCGGGAACCACCTTTGGCTTGCCCTCAGAACCGCATCCACCTCTCAGGATGTGCCAGGGGTCTACGGCCTGGGTGCAATCGTAGCCAATCCTTGGCCGAGCAGGGCTGACTTGCATGCTGTGTGGCAAATACTTGGCAAGCTGGAGGCATCACCCTAAACCTTAGAGAGGGGACTGTTGTGAGGCGGAGTTTTTTTGAATGTGATGCAGTGTTTTGGACTAAGTTCATGTTGTTGCGAGTGCAAAGCAAATAGCTACCCCCCCCTAAAACCCACCTCTAAAGTAAAAAGTTCACGACATCAACTCCGACAATCCTGAACCCCATAAGATTCCGGCATCGACAACCCCGTATCAGCGTTGCTGCTGTCCACACATGTCTGCGCGCATCATACTCTTGTCTACAGATCCTGTATACGTTCACGAGCATACTCCGCAAGCTCCGTCTCTAGATTAGACTTGCGAGCAGTGTCTTCCCTACATCTAGCACAGGACCAACACAGATGGCTGGATTGACGGGAGTAATGCATTCTGCAGCTCACCGCTCCTAGCGATTGAACAAGTACCCGTGTCAGCCACGACATGGCCACAGACCGGTGTTTACCAGCACGACAGAAGAATCCTAGTTGTACTACGGGGCCTTGAAACTGTACAAGAAAGCGAAGCAGTTTATCTACTTCTTTCGTGAAAAGCTTGTGCCCACTTACCGAAGCAAGTGTTTCATCGTGATGTCCTGAGTGTGAGCGCAAGGACGGGTCGTGTCCCGGGTCGGAAAAGCATCTGCAGTCAACCACGTAATCTAGATCCCTATCATCTGCTTGTCCGCCCCATACGTGTATGCGAACTTCTCGCTGATGGAGCACGCGCCAAGAGGGAGGAAACGAAGGCCCTGCTGGTCGGAGTACTTCCGGAGGAGGCCCAGCAGTCGCTAACCATGGGGGGGGATACGGCGGTTCTGTTACTCGAAGCCGTCCATGAGGGATCTCTTCGGCATTTGCAGACTTCATGTCCACATGCTGTCGGTTGGTGGCTGCACCTATCGGCGTGGTATGAGATGGCTGATACTTCCGGACAGCCCCTATAGGGATGACATCGGACCGCTTGCACTCGACACCGGCAGAGGGGACAGCCCCTATAGGGATGACATTGGTCGCTTGCACTGGACACCGGCAGAGGGGACAGCCCCTATAGGGATGACATCGGACCGCTTGCACTGGATACCGGCAGAGGGAACAGCCCCTATAGGGATGACATCGGACTGCTTGCGCTTGACACCGGCAGACACTGTTCTCAACGCTGTTTCTGTCTTCGGCTCCTTCTTGGTAACAGCCCCTATAGGTTGCATACGAAGATCTGTCTTCGGCTCCTTCTTGGTAACAGCCCCTATAGGTTGCATATGAGGACGCCTCACAAGGCGGCCCACCGGAAACGGTAACATGGCGACTTTTTGTACTACTCTAGTAGTTTGTATCCACATGACCCTGGATAATACTACTCGAAAACTGCATCATGCTATGGTATTGTAATAGCGACTCTTATTAGTTGCTCTATATATATATATATATATATATACACGTACTATTAAAACAAATCAACATATATATATATATATATATGGTGTCCCTCCCCAAAGGATGTGTATCTACATATGGTATCATGTGCATACGTATTTACATGGGCATCGTTCCAAGCCAGCGCCGCATCTTGAAACAAAACTGCGTCGAATCTGTCCTCCCTCCCCCAAGGAAACCTTCCTCGAAACCGACAAACTGACACAGCAACCGGCCCCGAAGAATTTCAGCTAAACCCTAGACCCTAAACCCTAAACCTAAATCCTGACCGCCGCGGCGACAGCCTAGGGGCCTAAGAGTTTAGGGTTCAGGGTTCAGGCTTTAGGGGCTTAGGTGGCTGCAAGTTCAGGGCCCGGTGTTTAGTAGGGTTTAGGGCTCATAGGGTTTCAGGGCTTAGGCCCGTTTAGGCTTTGGGGTCTTTGAGTTGAGGAACCCGGTAACTTGTAAGGTTTAGGGTTTGGGGTTTAAGGCATGGAAAGGAAGCATTGTGTGAGGTTGCGGTAGATATGACGAAGTTCATTTTTTGAACCAATTGTGGCTGTGACGGGGAGATCCATGTTTCAAAACAAGGGCTGTGTTTCGAAACAAAGGCTGTGTTTCGAAACAGGGAACTTCCGAATAACATGTCTGGAAATACGTGAAAGCAAACCAACTGTGGCACAGCTACGGCTGTTACGCTTGAGGGGGGGGGGGACTCCTGCCAAGATGGGCCAACTTCCAAGGACCCCCTCCCCCCCCCCACCCCCCAAATCATGTATGCCAAACATCATGGTCAAGATTCCCACTTATGAATGGACTGTTGTGAGGCCATAAGTTTAAAGTTGTAAGCGTTTACTAACCCCTAAACCTTATTAAATGATTGAAAACTACCCAACAACTCCGCCTCACAACAGTCCTTTCTGAAACCTTACTAAACCCTAAACCCAAAACCCTAAACCGCAAAATCTGGGGCCCCGAGTACCGGCTCTTGAAGCTCCCAGTCGCCGGTTGCAGCTTACATCGACATACGCATCTGCGAAAAACCACCCAGTTTGACAGCTATACCTGGGTTTAGGGTTAGGGTTTAGGGTTTCTGGTGTTGATAGGGTTTAGGGCTACAACTTACTCACTTCCGGAATCTGCAGGAATCCACCGGAAAGCCGGCCGCAATCTCACGGCCACGCTCAAAAGAGTGCCGGCCGCTCTTTTTTTTTCTCTCTCTCTCTCTCTCTCTCTCTCTCTCTCTCTCTCTCTCTCTCTGTTCTCCCGGAAGTCGAGGAGCCAACCATCGCACCTGTATCCTCAGCTGCACAAAACTGGGAGGCCTCTTGGTTGTGACCCCCCCCCCCTCTTCCCCCCCCTCTTGCCCCACTCTCAGCCCCAAGCCGTAGGGATCCCTGAAGTAGGCCGTGTCAGTGCAGTCTGTACCTCAGATTGTGGCTCTCATTGACGCAAGAAGTTTCCAGAGAAGAACTCGCTGTCAGGACGCCTCGGACCGGATGTCCCCTTTCAAATCTACACAAAAGGAAGCGTTGGAAAAGACAGACCTATCGCATTTTTGGAGTCAGGCAATGATTGACAACCTGCCGATCGAAGAAAACCTGCATGTTTCATGATGTGCAATGCTTCGATGTATCCACTGGATGTTTTTGAACTCTGGGCACGGCGATGAGCAGAACTGCGGCTTAGTAAAGCTTGGGGAGGTCCAGCTGATCAGAATAACCCAAGACCCACAAGAAGACTGAGGTCTAGGGCACACGAGGGAGACATGCACGTGGCTTCGCAATGCTCTACACCGAACCCAAGAGTCCCCTTCACAGTTGAATCTCAACTTGGAGGCGAGTGAGGGAATAATCAGCGGCCAAGCCTCCAGCGCTGCAGAGCCCACAGCTAAAGGCGCAGTTTTGAAGAAGGTCCGCCATCTCCGACGCACCTCTGACACTTGCAGACAACAGGTTCTTGCAGCCCGCCTCAGAGATCTTGCACCTATGCTTACCACTATTGTCTGCTACTGCATTTTTTCGCTATGCTTACTATTATTTCTAGTTGTTCCCCTATCTGATTGTTTCAAGCCCCACAGTCCCGAAGAGAGCCGCTCTCTGAGGAAAGGATATGGCCTACATGGGACTGAGGTTTCTCCACAGCGGCTGTGCGGAAGGTCCACAGGACGGAATTTCTTGGAACTGCGATAGCGAACCTTGTTCTCCTGATCCCGCAAAAAGTACTTAGCATCGTTTAGGGACATTGAGCCCAGCTGCTGTAGCCGTACTGGGAAACAGCGGTGGTGCAGTCGGACCCTGCAACCAGTAACAAGCATTGGAATCAGCTGACCACACTCACTGCGCCTCCGGTGCCTTTTGTCCTAGTCGCGACTTTCACTTTAGCAACAGAAGGGCATAATGCGAGGAAATAGCAAAATTCTGACCCTCAGGACCCAAGAGGCGACACTGGATAACCTGTGACCTCCAAACATCTGTGGTTAGCTGGGGATGTCTCATCGAGGCAACACATCCAAAACGAAAACAAACAACAAGACTCACAGTGCCAGCGGTGTCTGTCACGACCCGCGACATTCCTCAAGATCCACATTGGCAGCTGGAGAAGTGGCCGACAGGCCTGCCCATTGCGTGCATTGATGTCCTGCAGGGTAAAGAAGAACTATATAGTCAAGAAAGGCCCTGGACTCTGGACTCAAAACAATGCGGCTGGGTCAGCGGTCAATTTCGCCTGGGCCAGATCGAAAGCCAACGGTGTCGCAACAGCTGCTATTTGTTGCCTGTCACTGAGAGGAGCTCAGCGTAAAGCACAGACATCTCACACTAGCTCACAGCCGCCAAGGGCAACATTGCAGACTTTGAAGACCCACTGCCCCTCGCTTGTGACTTTGGCTTGTCTGTTTGGAGCCTTTTGGACCCGCAACGCAACATGGCGTGCTTGTGGTGTTGGGCACAAGTCCCTGACATGCATGTCGCTCCCGATCATGGGGGCCTCGCAGACAGGACATCGCATGCAACTGGCTTTGCATTTGTCCATGAGCTCAACCTCAGAAGCCAGGCTTGTAAGGGCGACCCTTGCAAGTTGCGCGGCTCTTGTCCTTGATTTGGCTACACCCCTAGTTTGCTTCCGGTCTCAAGCTCGGTAACCTCCTGAAACCAAAAGCAAACCAAAGTCCTCAAAAAAAAACCTAGGGCAACATTAAAGGCTCCCTTGGCCCGGTTGCCCACGAAAACTTCATGGCCCAGCTTCTCTCTCTGCATAAGGCAGCGCGGTGCCGCTTTGTGGGTCACACTCCTTTGTCCATTTCGTCTGATTGTGGCGGGGGGGGGGGGGGGCAATGCCAAGTCGTGTGGCGCAAAAAGGGCTGCATCCCCAGCCACGTGGACATCACATTTGCAGGCAGGGCTCATAACCTCGCCAGGTCCTGTTGATGTACACGCAAGTCTCTGAGTAAGCAAGGACTTGAAGCAGGAGGCTGCAAGAAGCATGTGGCTTCGGTCCAGCATTCTTCGTTGAATCGATCTACATACTCTGCGTCGTCACAGCCTTGCAAAGAGTCCAGTCAGGGCAAAGTTGAACCAGGTACAAGGCACAATCGGCCAAGCCCAGCCAAGCGTCAGGAGCCCCAGCAGGTCGGAGGAACCATCATGCTCTCGCTAGGCGGTGAGCTCAGAACCCCATTGATCCAGTCAAGGTAAGTGTACCTCAGTCGCACTGCACGCACCTCAGAACTTGGGATTCTGCCGCAGTTCCACATGTTTACGCTTCGTTGCCAGACTCTGTCGACTGGCAGCTTTGCTGTGCATGGGCTCTGTGCTTGCAGCCAAAGGACACTCGCGTAAACACATCACGGCCTCCCGCTGTGTAAGATACTACCCCCACCTGAACCAACTGGCCATTGTCCTCAGACAACACACAACATGTGAGAAATACCCTTACTTTGTATGTTTGATCGAGCGAAACAAATATCACAGAGTGCCACTTCGGAACAAAACTTTCTCTCGCGCATTAAGAAAGACTCGTGTCCCTGCGCACAGGGCAGTGCACTAGTGCGTAAACACCAATTTCCAGCTTCAGCGACCATGACAAACAAGGGCCCGCCACTATCGCCACAGCCAGCTCCTGCCATATCCTTAGCTAGATGATGTGAACATATGTGAACCCTGGCTGAAGGCAGGTGCACGCGCATCGCAGCCCTAAGGCCCAGCAAACAGCACTCCCCAATCTGCAGCCAGAAGAATTTACAAAGTAAATACCCACTCTGCAGTTTGAAGCCTTGCTGCGTTCTTGCTTTGCTTGCAGCGCAGGCTCCTTACCAGTGGCGTTGATGTGCTCGGTGCAGATCAGCCGTGTCCAGTTGAAAAACCTGGATGACAACAAGCATGCTCTGGCCGGATTTCTCTCCTCCCGTCAGTTCGCGCTTTGCTATGCGGGTGGGGATCGTTACGGCATGTGCGGCTAACAGAGACAAGAAGCTGGCCGTTCAAGGCACAAGGCTCTCTGTCCACGATGAAAGAGTCCCCTTCCTTGAGAATGAACTCATACCTCGATCAAACTATAACGGTGTCCAGTTAACCCAGGGATGTGGTTCGCCAACAAGATAGCAAACGCAACGTTCTGAGTACTGCACAAAGCATTCAAGTTGCCTGTTCAAGTCTGTTCGCTTGTGTTCTGGACGACAGAAGCATGACACACGCACGCATGGACTCAAGAAGTAGGACCCACCACGGCGACCTTGCTTAAGTCAAACCTACAGCATGTCGCACGTCTGCACGCTCGATCCGTTTCAGCTGACATTTAGGGCTGGACCTGGAGGGTTCGGGCTCTGACAAGCCACCCTTGATGCCAAGTCAGCGCTCTGCATAGACGAAAATCCCTGAATTCTAAGTTGGGAAGATTTGCCGAAAGCAGACCCAGGTACTGCTGGCATGCCTCGTCAATGCTTCCCCATCCGGCAAGGAGTGCCTTACCAAGGGGCTTAGGCAACGCATCGAATAGGGAAGTTCAATTTGGTTGGAAAGGAGCAGTTTCTGTTTAAGTTAAGATATCTAAGGGGGTGATACTGATATTGGTTATTTCATCGGGCTCAAGAATTGATCCCTTCCTGGTTGCTTTTGAGTGATCTCGTGCCTCGATGAAGAGATTCTCAACATTCAGCGCGGTGAGTGGGGGATCAGGCTTAGGTCAGGAGATGATCCAGAAGGGAGGGCTTCGATATGATTGTTGGCGCTTGTGCCTCTTGAGTCTCGGGAACCCGTCTCAAACTCCCAGGCCACACAGAAAACTCAGGGTGTTGACGTCTCAAGGGCTTCAGGCTTGTGGGCCTTATAAGCTTGAAATCTCAAACCACAAAGCATCGCACCCACTGCATGCCAGCATCATGACAGCCACGCAATGCCACGGGAAACCCTGAAACTGCCTCCGATCCGTTGTAGCGCGCGGAGGAATCCTCCAACCTCGGTCGTCCGAAAGTAGCGGAGGTGGAGTACAGCACACACTGGGCCCCGCATACTGACAGTGCCATGAGACCCTGAAGCCTGAAGGGCCTAAGGGCTTAGCGATAAAGATGGTTCAAGCGTGTTAAACCCTTCACGGCGACACAGGCGAGGATTGAGGTTTCAGCTGGAAGCAAGATGTGCAGCTTCACATGGCCCACCTAGAAATCATTGCAGTAACCGTAGCAGCAGGAGTAGCAGCGAAAGCGTAATCAGAGTACATACAATGGTAGTCGCACGAGTAGTCGTGCTAACAAGACTAAAGTTTTGATGATGTTGCTCCTATGTTCAGGCTAGGAAACAAGACCCCAAACAAGTGTCCAAGAGAATAGCCCACCAGCTGCACTCGTGCACTTTAGCACGCTCGGGTGTGGTCCGGAGAGATCGCCAAAAAGCAGGAGGCTAGAAGGCCGGGCCTTTGAGCCCGGGCGAGGTGCGGGCGAACCCTGAATGCTTACAACACTACGTAGTCAAAGTTTCGACATCCTTAGGCACTTGAGACTTGAGGCAAGCATCTGTGCGAGCGGGACATCAGGAAGAGGCTGCGCCAATCGCAGGAGCGCCTCCACTACACAAAAAATCACATCGATGGGGCGTTGAGCCTTCAACCTGCCCCTTTGTGCTTGAATCATCTCTGATTGCTCTGGCGAGAGAAGCGAGAAACAGAAAAAGGTAGACCTTGACCTGATGCGAAGTCTGGCTAGGCCCTGCAAGCCCAGGACATGGAGGCTCACGGCCAATTACTCATCGCCAAGGCCGAGAATCGAGATCGTGAACCAGACTCTCCATGTTATACCCCGGGTGCACAACCTCAGGCTGAAAGTGTTGGAGTCGAAGGCCAGCCCCTCGCACCCCAAATAAAGCCACCCGAAAACAGGAGATGGTAGCGGAGCAGGCGTACTAGCCGATGTCTATCATGCAACCTAAGAAAAACATCGCACACTCAGCCGTTACTGCAGGTGCGGACCCTGTGCAAAGATGGCCTGACCGCCAGGAACTATGCGGCTTGGGATCGAAATACTGCACATTTCCAAGCAACCAGTAGGTCAACTCCGATCTTGTTCCAGGAATTGTTCTGCCCGGACTTCATAGACCATACCTCACAAGACGAACCGTGCATCTGGCTCGAAAGGCGCAAGCTTCGGACGCTGCTTGTAGCATGTGAAGGCAAACCATTGTCAAACCTCCTCCGTCCTATTGAATGCTATTGCTGTCATTACTATGAAGAAACCAAAGGGAAGGGGGGGGGAGCTCAACACACTACAGCGCTGTGACGCACTGGAGAACAACGCATTGGTTTCGGCCCTGCTCACCTGCCGATCTCTTTTGTGCAGTGACAGACTCGGCTCTAACGAAGATGGCGTCACGATGCTGTCGCTGAAAGAAAGTGCGAATCTGAAACTATGCCTGCCATACCATCAAACAGAGACAGTACCTGCTCGCCTGGACGTCCGACAACGGTGAGGTGGACGTGAAGAAACAATGTGCGGCAGTCAATACCCAGCGATCTCGAATCATGGTCCTGCGGCAGGGCGACACATGAATGCGTTGAGTCTGAAAACTACATGGACTTGCTGTCCAGGGACTGCAGACTATACGTTCTCACACCACAACGCAGGATGCCGGTCCCTCCGCAGAAGTGCGTGGGCGTGGAGCCCAACTGCAGGGACACGAGGTAAGGGTAGACGTCAGCAAATCGACCCCAGTCCACTTGCCCTGGCGTGTAGGTGCTGGAAATGGCAAACACAGCAAATGTGTCTCGATGCCGCGAACTTTAACCTTGCAAAAGGCAGTGCGCTTCCTGTCATTTTTCTAAGGTTCGACCGCTCATGGAAACATCTGCGCATCGCAGGTTTCAAACTTTCAGAGACTGGCACGGCTCTACGTAAGGCGGTGAATCCTGGGCCTCGTGGCTTCGGTCTTGTGTTCACTACTCTGAAGAAGCCTGTAAGCAAGGGAACGATGTGCCGCATTCGCAGCTTGTGGTGTAAGAGTTGCTGCCGAGCCACTGTCTGAGCCATCATAGCCTCAGGCACTTTTCCAACGATTCTTGTGGCGGTGTTTTTGGAAGGTCCTTTTTCAATCTCATCACTTGAACCCAAATCTTTTTCCTGAGGGGCAGGCTGTATATCAGGCGCCTGTCATCCTCCAGGGCGGAACAGGTCAGGAGCCCTGCTAGTAGCAGGGGCAAAGGCCAAGGTCCATAAGACAACATTGCGCGTCTCCGGGCCGGAGGAAGCTCAGCTACGAGCTTCAGGACTACTATGCTGCTGCAATTCACAGAAAGCTTCTGCGGATGCTTGAGGTCCTGATCATATGACTCTTCCGTGTTTTCTGCTGTATTTGGCTCCTTTCACTCGAGCAGTGGGCCAATGACGACCGCAGCATTGGCACGGCGACTGTTCGGATTGAAAAGCAAAAGTCTGAAAGTGAAGTCAAGTTCTTTTCAGGTGCTGGATATATCTCGACAGGACGCGCATGCAGCGGTCAACCACTGCCAGGCTTGCAGCGGAGTCTGAATAACGATCGTGAAAAATACAGTACTGCATAGTACTGCCAAGCCTCCAAACTACTGTACTCCTGTTCTTTCGAGCTTTCCATCACTGTTCTGTCCTTCCACATTTCGCCTTACGCAGACGAAGTAGGGCTAAGCATGGCCATCTGGCCCAACCTACGTTGCCAGTGCTGCCATGCTGCAGTAGAGCAGCAACGCAAGAAAGCACAACTCGTGACTTTCCACTTGCTGAGCAAGTTGGAGCAAGTGTCGTCGAGTTTCTGGCTTTGTCATTAGCTTCCGCAAGCTCACTAGAAGCCGGATGTACATCTATTGTTCCGCATAGTCAATAGACTATGCGGGTACAAGCATTTCGCGGCAACTGCTTGCCAGTATTTTAAATACATGCGGCCAGCACAATAAAGGACATTATCAGTGATGTGGCGCCACTCGCGCTGATACCTGGGCGGCCATGCAGTTTCACAAAAAACAGCCAGCCCTTTGAAACGAATGTGCAGACTTCTACCAAAGTTCCTCGAACCTAGTTGGGGGTTTGCGAAAATAAGGGACCCCTAATATAGACCCCCAAGTAGTAGGATTCCCTTTTCAGAAGGACCCCAATAAGTTACCCCTAATTTCGGAAACCCACAGTTGAGTACGACAGATTTGATTTGCAGGATTGGGGACCGATCTCCGTGGCAAGTCCGAAGAAGACTTCGCTTGTTAAGGGTTGTTGCACTACACAGAGAGCCGATGCCCCGTACTTAATGACTCTAAGAACTATAGGATTCGGATCGATATTCTATCAACACCTAGCGATGTTGGGCTCGCTGGGTACTCTCATGGTCATGACTCTGCCAAGGCAAGCAGCTCGCAGAGAGACCGTCTCCCACGGTGGTGCTGGTGGTGGGAATCATCCTGGAATTAAACTGCATGATAAAAGAAGGACCAATGATTTAAACTACTGGCATAGCACAGCATACATAGAGACATACCAGTAGACCACACCTGAGTAGACCACAGTCCACTGAATCGCAAGGTCCGACCCTGCAAGATCACATCTCAAGCATTGCGCATCCATGACTGCGGCCACGCTTCGTGCAGGTGCCGCAGCTGAGAGGACCTTCAGGTGCTGCACAAGGCGCCACAGTGTGAAGATGTGAAGGAAACGAAATCGTGTAGCCAATTGAAATCATCTGCCTGTATCATCGCCAAAACGCCTGCTGCCGACAATCCCTCTCAGCGCCAAGGAGCACATGTGCAACACCAGGTCTCGATCGGCCTGAGTATAGCCTGAGTGGGACATGACGCGATGTCATAGCTTGGGAACCGCAGGAACTTCATAGGCAAGAGAATACGTTCGCAACGTCAAGTACTGAGGTCCCGCTGCTCTGATTTGAGGCGAGCTGCTGAAATCTTCCTGGGCAGTGGGGTGCATGAAATGCGGGTCCATCCAAGCGGTGTTTGAGGGGGGGGGGGGGAGGTGGGGGTATGTGGCGGTGGGGTAGGGTGGGGGGGGAAATGGACGTTCGTGGCACAGAACCCGAAATCTGAAAAACTGAAACTTCCAAATTTTCTCTGCTTTGCACCTAATAACCTCATAGAGGTCATGTGTTCCTACAACTTCAAAGGTAAGTGTCCTGCCACATGTGTCCCGATGGCGTAACACGAACAGCAAATATCATCACAGCTTCTCTCAAAAATGCGTGGCAAATATTCTTGCACATGTGACTCTTCGGCGAGGCCGGCAAAACAAACACGCTGATAAAGTAGGAAATGCAAGCTCAGAAATGAAGCCAGTAGCATAGTATGTCTATGTGAGCACAAGTTGAATATCCTGAAGGCGGGGGGGGGGGGGGGGGGGGGGCCCTCAAGGCCAAGGCAAAGGGTGGGACCCCCCCCCCACCTCGCCCCCCCCCCACCATAGGCCACACCACGTGCAAAGCATCTGCTGTGACAGCCTACGAGACTCCTGCCTGCGCTGGCGTTGTGCAGAAAGGACGGCATGCCCCGCAAGACTTTTGATGAAACTGTGAGGAAAAGAGTCATTGCTGGTGCTGCCAACCCCTTGTTCTGACCGCCTGCCTGTGCAAAAGCCCACGGCACCAGTGCATCTCAAGTTCGACAACCTGTCCCCAATGACCATGCCACTACCTAAGAAAATACTGCACCTGCCATGTAAAATGCCATCATTAGCCCCTTTAAGCCTTCAACTCTTTATGGCCCCTTATCGATGCCAAAGGCAACTGAGATTAATGCTATGTGATATTTGTACTTCCAAACACGGTCTAGTAATCTTCGTGAACGACAATAACGATTCACGGGTTGTGCTCATTTTGCTAAAGCTTTGGCAGCTTTGGTAACCTTCCATCTCTGTTCGCAGTCTCGGTCGCGGGAGAGGTGGACGTGTTGAGGGGGGGCAGGGGTGGCATTCACAGCCATGACCTTGCTTTTTCAAGCATTTTGGCCCAAACAGTTGGGTCCTTTCAGAGCACGGGTCGTGTAGCCTTGTTGCGCGACGCAACTAGGACAGAGCTGCCTGCAAGATTCAGAGGTGTCAGGCAAGGTTTGTATTAGGGGGAGGTTTAACTACTTCAATGGCTGCAATCTGCCATGCAGGCTGCAGACTTCCAACGGGGCCAAGCATCCACGGCCCGGGAGCAGTCGTAGTTTTTCCTGAAGTCTGTGGCATGGGCATTTAGAAACCACAACACGTCAGGGACTTGAGAAATTAAGGGGTCGTGTTTGAGCGTGTGGTTAGATGGAAGCACAACGTAGCCAAAGTCCACGCAATGCTATACCGGGCCGAGGTGCCATTGAGGGCATGTGTGGCCTCACCAAGCAAAAAGTATGTGCAGGACGGAGAACACGGAACGTGCCTACTGTAACAGGCTGCAATGCACTTAGATTACTTTAGCAACTTTAGTAAGGTGGCACCGTATGGGTGGCCACAAGTCCGATCGTTGGCAACTGTGGCCTCAAAGCAGCTCCCGGCTTAAGACGGCCTACGCTGATACCAGAAACCTTTCCCATGTGCTGCGTTTCTAGATACCTGAAGGGTATGCACGCAGGGCCAACATCGGGGGGCTGACATCCAAGCCACTTTTTACGTCTTTGAAGTATGCAGAGTCGGAGCAATCCGTACCTTGCGTGACATCCGTGACATTCGCTGCTGTAAGCCCTACCCTGCTGCAGTTCATGCGCATACTGCTAGGGCCGCTAGGGCCGCTAGGGCATGGCAAATGGAGAGCCTGAGGCTTGGTGCCCTATTTGTCCGGTTGCCACACTGCCTGTGACTGACGCTACCTGTCTGTCTTCTATTGATGTTTCCCCTCAAGCTGATCCGCCCCCAGCATCTCCGTAAACATTTAAACTTTAGTAAACATTGCAGCCAAGCCTCCGGAAGTGCAGGTTCCGCAAGTAAAGGGACAGTTTTGGAGCACTTCAGCCGACTCAGGGTCACCTGAGCATGGGAGCTTGCAGGAGGCTGCGGGGCCTTTTGCACCTAAAATTCCCTGCAAACCATGGTTGCAGCACAGACGCTGGAGCAGTCCACTCCTCCCATCATAAACAGAAACACAGGTGAAGGAGAATACTGCAAGCAACAGTTATGCGGTTAACACGTCCACGCACACGCCCGCCTACACAAAAAACGCACCCACGCCAACACCCACGCCCCCACACACCCGCACCATGCATGCAACCTTGGGGCCGATGTCTTCCCTACAGCATTTGCAAGGAACGGCCGTGCCTTGAAATTGGTCACACGCCTTTCCTGCAACGCGAAGCTGCAAATCAAACTCACCCATGCCAGTGTTGTGCATTCTGGAAACTTGGTTGAACCATGGTGAACCGTCCGCGCAGTGTGAGTTGTCAAGCGCCAGCTTCCGGCAGCGCTACAGGCAGATCAACTGGGTCACCCGGCCTGATTGGCTTTGAAACCCAACCGTGTCACAGCAGCTGCTGTCTGTCGCCTGGCAGCAGCGATTCGCAGCACATATTGCAACAACATCCCCCCAAGAGATCCAAAAAGTAAACCAGAAGCCATGGCCCTGCAATACGAGGTTCCCGACATTAGGGGGTACCTATTGGGGGGTCCATATTCACGATCCCTTATTTTCGTAGATTCACATATTGCATTGCTGTGCCATGCGTTGCTCAGCCTGCAAAGAAGCTGGCCTCGCAAACAGGGCATTGTTTGCAGCTCGACCGGCATTTGCTCGTCAGGTCAGCCTTACCAGCGCACCAGGAACCAGTTGCAAACTTGACCCACATTCAGATGATGAGATTATATAAGCTACTGGATGGGCGTGCCGATGTTGGATCAACGTTGGGACATGTCTTGAGCAAAGCATCGACTAACGTTCCGAACCCTGACAATGCGATCTCCAATGTCCACGCCATGATTCTGTTTCCGCATCGGTGAAGCCTGTGGACGATGCATCACAATCCTCGGCTTCAGTTGTCAAAACACTAACAGAGAGTTTTAGGGACCCTGAACTCTCGCGACCCTAAGCCAGCCCGAGGGCACAGATTGCAGCTGCGGTGCTTTGGAAGCATAGCTCCTGCTGGGAGAGCTCCGCAACCCAAATGGGCAGATGATAGGGGCTCATCACTAGTTTGAACTGGCACGTGTCTCCTCCCAACCCCTTTGCGGCGAACACTTGAAAGCAGCCAGCAAGGTAACGTGCAAACCGGTACGAAGATAAGAAGACCAGGCAAGTAGACTAGATTTCAAATTTGTGGAGGTCGTGCAGTCGCTGGTTCATGCAGAGCATTTGCCATCTCTTGTGGTCATGCAGGCAAGAGCCTGTGCCCCAATGCCACAGTTCTCCCTCAAAATCCGGTGTAGTGTTTTGCATGGCTATTGGCAGCCGTCTTTGATGGGAGCTATGTTTTTGTTCGGCTTGTTCCGCGTTCTCTCAGGCATCTGTCCCTGCCAGCATGCTGATTGTTTTCCCGCCCGTCAATGTGTACTTTAGCTGCAGATAGTACTAAGTCGTGATACTGACAAGAAAAACATTGATAACAACAAGGATTAGAGCATTGAGCGGAAGAAGCATGGGGCGCGATGTTTGCAGAATCCGCCCTCCACCACCATATCCAGGCCTAGAAGACCGCCTGCGCCTACTCACGCAGCTCAGCATGAAGCCTTGCTTCCCCAAAAAGCTTCAAGGACCCCTGCTGGCCCGTATAGGTCCACCTGAAACACCAAGGGGAACGGGAAGCTTCCGGACATCAGACATGACCGCACCGGGGCAACGATGGCTCGAGGTTGTCAACCACAGCCACGCAAACACAATCATCTGTTGGAATAATAAAGAATAATCAAGGAATGTAAACTGTCAAGAAGATGCATTTCCAGAAGTGCTCCTTCGCTCCAGTTCAAATCAGAGTCAGACGCACTAGCAAAGGAATTCGCCATGTCATGTAGCTGCAGCGAGGTTTCGTACAGTCGTACGGTTTGCAAGCTTTTTCAAGTCGGGTCCCGCATTCTTGACCATACGGATCGTTGTACTCCGGATCGTCGCAGCCTGGGTGGCTTTCCAGGATCCGGGCAGGGTCGGCTGGCGCAGACAGTTCTACATGCTTGAGTCTCGTCATTTTGTCGATAGCCAAGTGGCACGAGCCCTGACAGAGCGGGGGGACGAGCATGTGACTGCTGGGCGGCGAAGCCAGGATGCCGTTGATCCAACCCAGGTACGTGAACCTTAGCATCACCAGTTCAGGCAAGACCGTGCCGTCTCGGCACATGTGGACTTATGCCTCTTAGGATTCCCATGCTTGCCCCCATGCTGCGGCCCTCTATCAAATAGCTACACGAATTACATGCTCATGGGCAGCCAAAGGGCACTCTGGCAAAGATGTCGCGCCCCTGGTATGTGTAGGACACCAGACCCACCTGAATCATTCCGTTGGTGCCATCCTAAGCTGAGCGTGCTGCGAAGGACCAAGAAGTTGTCAATGGTGCAAGACCCGCCCATTTCTGCCTTCATATTGCCAGTACAAGCATCGCTAACAAACAAGGGCCCGCCGCTATCGCCACAGCCAGCTCCGGATAAGTCCTGGGCAGCATGAAGCTCGGCATAAGTGGCTGCCATTGGCACTAAGAAACAGTAGAACTTGAAGTGACGTCAGCTGAATGATTTCAATCTCTTCCTGAATCTTGTTGGGGCTTTCCGCGTCAAGCACTCTGCCAAACAAAGTTCTGCTTCGCAAAAGGATGAAGCCACATCCCAACGCAAAAAGATGAGGCCGCATCCCAACATCGTCCGTTCTGATGAATGCTGTGGAGGAACTGTGCCAGATGCATTTATGTGCTCATTGCAGATGCGCTCGGTCCCGTTGAAAAACCTGGGAAAAGAATGCACCACCAAACGCCGCGCAGCATGAAACTCCTCATCAACACAAGCAGCATCCGTCCAAACAGGCAATAACAGGCATACATGAAACGGAAGCCTGTATCACACCAACGACCGCTATCCCGTACTCCTGCCATCGGATCCAAGATGCTGGTTGCTCGCTATGCAAGGGTTGCTCCCCACAATCTGTGCAGGGCCTTCCTTCAAGATGAACTCGTACCTCTGGCTGATCCAGCAGGAATGCGCAAGTTGCGGCCTCTCTCTGCCTTGTGGACACCATGTCTAGACTCACCCGCTGGTTGAGAGCCAAGTCTCCTTGTGCACGCAGCATCAAGGCTCCCCCATCCGGCGATTGTTGCCTCGGGCACTTATCCCTGCAGCTGCAACAAAAGAGCACCGAGTTCGGGTTCACCACTGACCCTAAACGTCCTACACCCCAAACCCTGAAGTGCGGGGACTGCAACCGTCTGCTTGTGAAACTTTGCATGGCAAGAGCTTCGGCGCCTATCTAGAGGGGATCGACAGCCCAGTTGCGTCCTTCCCGTCGTGCCGTGCGCTGGAGCTCTCTAGCCTGGGCAAAGTGGACCTCCTAGAAAGAGCCACCATCAATGCTGCCAGAGACATGCATACAGCTTACGTGGTTGAGCTTGGACCCTCATGCCCGAAATGTCCCACAAGCTTGCAACATTTTTTGTGACATGCCCGGAGAGCAGATGCTGCAACCCCACATCCGTGTTGGAGGGGGCGTTGGGGATTTTGTAGCGTACGCCTGAGCTGAACAACAGGATCCTCGGCCTCAGCCTCATCCACTCCTGATCCCCCACAACGACTCCCCATGTCTGGATGCGGCGCGTGGGCCCGCAGCCCAAGAAACGCGACAAGCGAGGCGCCGGGGGCGGACGCCGACAGGCGGACCAACGCCTGTGCGGCGCACACCCCACCAACGAGCCATCACCCTTGCCACCACCATTGCCCCCGGAACTTGCATTTCGTCCTTGTTGTGGACCTGTAGCTAACATAATCTGTTCCATTCAGAACTCCTCCTGCGGGAGACATGCCATGCGTCGCGGCTAGTGTTCAAAAACTCGGTTGACTGCTATGCCGCCCTTTCTCAGGCATGCTGCGACATCGTGATCCAAAGTCACCTGGTGGTACTCAGGGTGCACGACCTCAGACACGCAGATGCCAAGTTGAGCTGCCTTCTGCCAGCGCTTGAGATGCTCAAAGACAGCATTTAACTCGCTGCCCCAACCCCAACCATAAGATTGCAGTCAAGGGCTCAATCAAGTCCACCGAGGCCTTGTTCCAGGAATTCTCGGTCGCGTTTGCCAGCGACCATACCTGCCCACAATGTCTGCCACGATCTGGGCACTCGGCTCATTGGACACCCAGGAGTCATGATGACACAACACTATAAGGCAGAAGCGGATGCAACCGCGCCAAGTACCAAACCGCCTGATGTCTGACTCTCCTGTGCTTGTTTCACGGCCCGCCTGGAACTTTGAGACTTGCGAAGATGCCGTGTAGAAGCAGTGTGCGGCGCTCAGTACCCAGTTGTGGCGAATCAAAGTCCTTCCCCAAGCCGGCGTTTCAGAATGCATCCATCGCAGATATGTGTCAGACATCATCTCTAGGCATCCTGTTTAAACCCCAAAGCTCACGGTCCCTCCACACTGGTGATTACCATTGTACTGGATCGACACAAGGTAAGGAAAAACGTCGGCGAAGCGGGACCAGGGTACTTGGCCTCGGCGAAAAGGAGCTCTAACAAACCAGCAGGGTATCCTGTGGAAGCCTTTCAGGAAAATAGGCACCACCACCGCAGGGATGCACAACGAGTCTCCGAGCTCCACTTACGTCTACCGCAAACACTTCAAAGGCGAACACAGGACAAACCCTTCATGGTGCTTAGGGTTCAGGATTGAGCTCTCTGCCTCTCTGGCTTGCACACTGCCCCCCACTGCCTGAATCCCCCCATTTCTCAGGAGGATCATCATACAGCGAACTACTGTAAGCCCAGAGCCTCTGCACATCTGCTTGCCGTCTAAACAACTTATGCCGTCTTAAATCCGCGCAGCTTTTCGAGCCAGTCTTCACGACGCCGAGACAGGGGCCAAGCTTCAAGTTAGTATCCAAGAGATAGAACGCATCTACCTAACGGACCTAAGGGACCGGATGTGGGATGATATAGGGTTGTATTCTCGACCAGCATGTGAAGAATCTCTGGCTCTCGGCACAAACATGCCAGGCGGCCGTCTGAGTTGTCGTAACCTAGAAGAAAGCAGCTGATGTGGATTGGTCATGATTGGTCTGGCTTGCCGAAATCTGATGTGTGTTCATTGGTTCCCACTCAGAGCTCAGGTCTGGGAGTCAGGCTGTAGATCAAGCGTCTGTCAAGGACGTCCGACGCGCTGCACGCCAGCAGTGCCGGCCACACCAGGGACAAGGGTCGGGACAACATCGTGTTGGGGCGCCCACTTTGGGCAGCAGCCCACTTTGGGAAGCAACCCTCTAGGCCAAGACCAGCTTGAGCATCAAACTGAGCACGACCACATGCAGCTCATGCAGCACATTGGGACACATGCCATGCCGCAGCGGAACCGACATGAACCGACGCGACCCGACAATGCATCTGGAGTTGGCAGCTGCTCGTGAGCCCTCGATCCCGAAGCTGCAAGCAGACAAGAGTGTTCCCTTAAAGCAAACATTCCAGAAAACACCTAATCTCCTTGACGAAAGATCTTGGTGCATGACCCGGCCTGCGGTATCAAGCAGACGCCGCCGAGCCGTGAGAGCACAGAAATTAAAAGCTTCAAGGGTCCCGAGTCTCACAACTAGAGCAAGCAGGGTTTATAGGTGTTTTGGTGTTTAGGTAGGCTACATTGCGTTCAGACAAGGAGTTCAGTGGGGCTGTTGCGGTACAGGATGGCGTGAAGTTTGAATTCCCAATCTGTTGCAGCTTTCGCTGCGGGGCCGGAAACCACGGCACAACAGTGTACAAGCAACTGCTATGCTCCTTGCCATTGTTGCTGGCTGTGTCTTTGCATGATGAGCTAGAGTCTTGCTGCACAATTTTTCCATCCATGCAAACAGATGGACCAGCAACGTCAACATCATGTACATCGCAGGCATTGTGTTGAAACCTGGCCGTGCTTTGGGTTTCTGTACTTTCTCTGGTATCGGCAGGAGCACATCGATCCCAGTAACCTCTAATGAGATTGGACTGAAATGGCAGAACCCAACCTGGCTGCTTTCCTGAAAGTCTGAGTGGAGGGCACACCGTTTGACATCCAGCTGCCCGTGGGCATTCCTAGTGCTCCAAGACATGAGCAGGCCAAACCGAATGAGTGCCCGTGGCATCCTGTTCTTCTGCCCTCTGCAAAAGATGCAAAAAATGCTGACTTCATCCCGGGGAAGTTCTTGCATACCAGCAAGGCCTGAGAATGAAGATTGTTTCTGCACGGCATCTTCGAAGCAGACAACAGCCATGAGTGTTTGTGGTGTGATGACGGTGGCACAGGCCAGAGGGCACTGTTATAGGCGTGTGGGACCAGTGTTGGATGGCCTGGGCCTTGGGCCACCAGAGTTCCTGGTGTGACACATGTACAGTGATGCCTGCGGGAGTGAGTTAAGTTAAGGAGCTGCCGAGAAACCCTTCGCAAAAGCAATGCGCTGAGGGCTCAGCGGCTTCTCTGAGTGATTGTACAGTGAGCCGAGGCCTTGAACGCAAATTGACATTCGCCGTGTGGTGTGTCGATCTGTGGATCGATGAATGAAGGAAGGCTTCGCGTGCTGCGTCCGCCCTGAAGCTGAAGTTGCTGTACAGGGCTTTCTGAATCTGCTTTTCCTGCCTAGCGGCCTAGCGGAAGGTAGAAGTCTTTGTTGCTGGGATCATCCTTCAGACCTTGGCATGCCAAAACTAAGAATCTATATACAATTTCACAAGCACACACACACAAGAGCAACACATCCATGAATCAAACCCAAATGTCGGATTATCGGGCAACAAAAAGGTCCAACATCTTCAAGGCCAACTCTGCTTCCCGAGCTCCGGGCCCCAGCGGTAGCTGAACCTGCAATCAACCCATGGCTTCGTCCCTCTAATGCCCCAAAAAGAAGGAAAAGCGCTCTAAAGGACTCGTCGACCACGTAGAGATCAATAAATTCACTGGGCATCCAGCATTGCTTCAGCAGCCCCGGCGTCCTGACAAACGAAAAGCCGGTGCTCCGAATAGTGAGGGCGGCTTCTGGGCCGCCGGGCCATGACGATGGCAGGGCAGCTTTCGATCAGTTGCCCCTTGGAGAGCTCCTGGACAGGTCCCGCAAGTCTGAGGAACCTACGAGACCTTCTGCAACAGCAAGTTTGAACTGGACGCTGCGCCTTGGTCGTGAATACGCCCCGGCCATGGATGCACGACTCCTTTTCAAGAAGAAGCTGCAGACGTCGCAGCACATGTTGTGGCCACCACGACCGGCTTCGCGGAACTACTCTATTTCGGCTTAGGGCTTGCCCTCAGCTAGACTCCTCTGGCAGGCACCAAGCATTGCACAACACGATCCGTGATACTACCCGGCTGTTGCAGCACGGCTTGTCGCAGAGCGTCCCCGTGAAGGATGAAGCCCGAACTCTCCAGCTTCCCGGACCTCAGATCTGCTTCGTGGCCGCTCCAATCTGCGCTTGAAACTGCGGTGCTTGGACTTGCAACTTATCGCCATGAGCTATATGCTTCTTTAAAGGAGGCAAGGTATAATGCTCTTCTGCTTCCAACAAACCCAAGACAGTATCCACACGCATCCACCAAAGCCATACCTACCTTAAAACACGCGCATGGGCCAGAGCAACTCTTTCTCCGGCATTGGTCGCAGTGAAGGCTCGAGAGGACTCCACTTTGGGATGCCTTTGTCACGCAGCCATTGGTAGACTGCAACCTGAAGCCTAAGAAGACCTGGTAGTCTTTTGTTCACCAAGTCGATGATCCTATAAAACCTTCTGCCCATCAGCGGCAGTCCTCGCCCTCCGTCGCGGGCTTGACTTTCAAATCATTCAGGACACGTGCCAGAGAGCAGAGCGACAACGTTACGAGGCCTGAGCCATTCAGAATGTGACATGCACATTCTAGCAGCTGTTAGCATGTGCCAGTATATGCCTGGACGTGTTTGTTTCTACCGCCATGAGACGAACAACATACATACATACATACTTACTTACTTACTTACATACCTACATACCTCATACCTACATACCTACATACCTACATACCTACATACCTACATACCTACATGCCTACACAACTACATTCCTACATTCCTACAGTACTACAATACTACATTACTGCATTACTTCATTACTACATTACTATTACTGCACTAATTCATTACTACATTTCTACATTACATATGTACATGTATACATATGTGCGTATATATATATATATGTATAGTCAGAGGTAAAGGATTTACAATAGAGAGAGAGGGAGAAAGGAGAAAACAGAGAGAGAGAGAGAGAGAGAGAGAGAGAGAGAAAGAGAGAGAGAGAGAGAGAAAAAAAAAAAGAGAGTGCGAGAGAAAAATGACAGAGAGCGAGAGAGATACACAGGCACGGATTTCTGTTTGCTTACGCTCCGGCCCCATTTGCATACGGGAAAACACTTGCAGCTGCACTTTTTTGTCAGGCTTCGAGATGCGGTCTGTTCGAGGTTGAGGTGATCCGGTGAGTGCAGAAAGGGCAACACAAGGTACAAAGACTAAGCGCCCCGCGTGCAACCATCGTCGTCATCCTCAGCTGCCCATCTCGCGATATGTTGCGATGGGGCGCAGGCACTGTGGCATGTGGAAGGGGAGGGTGCACCAGCTTCGTGAATCAAGCTTCAGCAGCCGCAGGGGCAGTGCTGGCTGCTTGGTGCCCGCGAAGGATCGTGTGATCAGCCTCAGGTCACGTTAACATGCTAGAGTGCGCAGGATGACAGTTGACAGCTGAACGGTACAAAGACCGCAGATTTCGTGCAAGATTGAGCAGAATAGTGATACTGCAAGGGAAGGCCTGGCCGGGCCGCACGCCAAGCACATGTTCTTCTAAACTATGGTTCACCTTTGAAGGGTCCTTGAAAAAGAAGGCTCCACACGACAATCGGAACCAACAAGTTAAAGGGTTCCAACTTGCACAGAATCGACCCCATCCTTGTTCAAGGGGCTGCAATGCTGGAAGCTGTGCCACGAGTCCAAAGATAGACAAGGCGATGAGCACCCGAAAGTTCTGGCGGGTGACAGACGTCCACATGCAAGACGGGCATACACACAGAGGCAGCAGCACTAGTACCTAGTTTAAAGCATGTGCCTTTGTCGCCAGCATTGCGCCATCCACTGGGTAGGCGAAGACCTGTGGACAGAACGGAGCATCTTCGAGCTCTCTCCAACATCCACATGAAGCAAGGGGTTGAGGGGCAACTCCCCTTGCAAAAACTCATCGAGTGGCAAGACTTGCCACCGCCAACATCAGCGTCGGCGCGCTGTGCTGGACGACATCAATGACGGCACTGTCACCCTGCAGGCAGGCAGTGGCCGACCCCTACTCCCTGAAATTTGCAAAGCAATTTCTTGCCTCCTCATAAACCCTAATCCGAAACCCTTGACATCCCTCGACCCTAGCCGCTGGCCGAGAAGGTGCCACCGCCCAGTGCAGCGCAGGCGAAGGCCCCAAGGCCAGACACGGCACCGGCGGCAAGGCCCAGGATCAACAGGCTCCTGGGGAGTTGGGGTTCTTTTTGTTTGAGTTTCGGTTTTAAAAAAAACGATGCTCCTGGAGAGTTTCGGGGTTCTTTTTCTTTGGGGGAAGTAGGGGCTGTTCGGGTGTTGCAACTGCCACTAGTCGAATCACACTGCAGGCATGTTCCGCCGGAAAATCGTGTCGTCGGGTTTCGAGCGTAGCTTCTTGCATATCTTGAAATCGAGAGGTCTTCACGGTGCCCGTGGAGTGAAACTCGCATCGGTCTTTAAGCCATCAAGCCTCCATGGCTTGCACTTTTCTCTGAATCCCCTCAACCCCCCCCCCCAACCCCCAAACCCACCAAGTTTTTGTGGCCCAGCTGCTTTGTCGCCCTCCTGGCTCCGGCCATGTCCTGGGCTTGAGGCGCCCCACCCCATGCAAAGCAACAAGGGAACGCTGAGTACCTGTAACTCAGCATAGACAGGTACACAGATATCCGCCGACCCCGCCTTTGGGGTCGAGCGCCCGGGAAGCCCCTTACACGAGAGGTAGTCCTGACGACCCCCACCCTTCCCTTCCCTCCCGACCAGGGACCAATCCTCCAGGCCCCCAAAAAACACTTTTTTCTCCCTGACCCCCCCCCCCCCCCGACCTGACGACCCCTCCACCCCCGACCAGGGACCTTGCACCCCTACACATCCGACCCCCCGACCAGGCGGACCAACCCTGTCGACCCCCACCCCCACCCCCTCCCCTTCCGCCCCCCGACCAGGGACCCCCCCCTCCCGGCCCCAAAAACACTTTTTTTGTCGCGTTCAGAACGGACGATTTCTGACCGCCAACCCACAAAAAACCCCACCCCTCCCCCACCCCCTCCCCTCCGCTCCCCGACCAGGGACCCCCCCCTCCCAGACGATTTCTGACCGCCAACCTCGTGCTTGCCCTGCCCCTTCCCCCTACTCCTCCCACCACCCAAACCCCACCCCCCTCCCCACCGGCGGCCCCTACCCCTGCCCACCTGACCCTTACCCCACCCCCGACCAGACGACCCGGACCACCCGACCTCCCTTTAGGCCCCCAAAAAACACTTTTTTCTCCTTCACTTTTTCTGACTCCGCCCAGAAGGCGGACGACCAAAAAACCCCCCCCCACCGGCGGCCCATCTACCTCACCCCTTCACCCCCACCCCCTCCCCTTCCGCCCCCGACCAGGGACCCCCCCCCCCGGCCCCAAAAAACTCAAAAACACTTTTTTTGTCGGGTTCAGAACCGACGATTTTTGACCGCCAACCCACAAAAACGCTCCGCCCCGCCCTCCCGAGCCCGAAGTCCACCACCCAAACCCCACCCCCCTCCCCTTCCGCCCCGGACCACACCCCCCAGTTGGTGGCCTTACCTTCTGCCCAGCTTGCCCTTACCCCTACACCCCCCTTCTCCCCCACCCCCCCACCAGGCGACCCGGACCCACCCGACCTGTCGACCCCCACCCCCACCCCCTCCCCTTCCGCCCCCCGACCAGGGACCCCCCCCCTCCCAACCCCAAAAAACTCAAAAACACTTTTTCTCGACTTGACAATTTCTCACAAAAACGCTCCGTGCGTGCTTGCCCTGCCCCTACCCCCTACTCCTCCCGAGCCCGAAGTCCACCACCCAAACCCCACCCCCCTCCCCTTCCGCCCTGGACCAGGGACCCCCCACCGGTCGCCCTTACCTTCTGCCCACTGACCCTTACCCTACCACCCCCCTACCAGGCGACCTGGACCCCCCACCCCCACCCCCTCCCCTTCCGCCCCCCGACCAGGGACCCCCCCTCCCGGCCCCAAAAAACTCAAAAACCCTTTTTTTTGCCCCACGCCCACGCTGCCCCTATCCCTGCCGGAGCCACCCGACCTGTCGACCCCCACCCCCACCCCCTCCCCTTCCCCCCGACCAGGGACCCCCCCCTCCCGGCCCCAAAAAACTCAAAAACACTTTTTTTGTCGGGTTCAGAACGGACGATTTTTGACCGCCAACCCACAAAAACGCTCCGTGCGTGCTTGCCCTGCCCCTACCCCCTACTCCTCCCGAGCCCGAAGCACCCCCCTCCCTTCCACCACACCCCCCAGTTGGTGGCCCTCGCCCTTACCCCCCCTTCTCCCCACCCCCCCCCCCAGACCCACCCGACCTGTCGACCCCCCACCCCCTCCCCTCCCTCCGCCCCCCGACCAGGGACCCCCCCCTCCCGGCCCCAAAAAACTCAAAAACACTTTTTTTTGTTGGGTTGAGAAGCACGATTTCTGACCGCCAACCCACAAAAGCGCTCCGTGCGTGCTTGCCCTGCCCCTACCCCCTACTCCTCCCGAGCCCGAAGTCCGCCACCCAAACCCCACCCGACCAGGCGACCCGGACCCACCCGACCTGTCGACCCCCACCCCCACCCCCTCCCCACATTGCGAGAAGCGCCCTACTAGCCTGCGATGCTTAGAGAAACTCCATGCGTAAAGGGAATGTGCCAAACAGCTATGAGTCACCGAAGGGGCCGACCCCACGCGCGCACCGACCCCCCGGTTCCACGGGGGTCGGCGGCAGCGGCGTTAGCCCTTAAATCCGGCCCCCGCGCCGCCCGTGGTCCAGGGCGGAGCCCGCGTCGCACTAAAGCGCTAGCTTTAAGGGGCGAGCGCCCGAGCCGCCGACCCCGCCCAACATTGCTTCAAATTCGCGCGGGGCCCTTCGGGAGGTCTCCGAAACGGCATCCAAGGGGACGCAACACGCGGTGGTGCGAAAAGCACGAAAACCTCGTAAAAACCATGGGTTTTTACGAAAAACCGAGGCCACAAAACACCCGCAGCACCCCATTAAACCCTCACGGGCGCGCATCATCGGCCCTAGCTTTTCACATGGGGCGCGCGCCAGGCCGAAACCACGTTTTTCAAGGTTTGGGGGGGGGTACCGGAAGCCCAAAACCAGGCGAGCATCATGAGCATCAGCAGCCCTGGCCCGCGGGCCCAAGGCAATAAAAAACGCTGAAAAACGCTGAAATCACCGTAAATACCGTGTTTTTATGAGGTTTTTCACGCGTGCCTCCGACCCCCACCCCTGTTGCCCTTGACCCGCCCCCAAAGTGCGCATCATCGAAACCCACGTCCGGGGGGGGGTCTGCTGATGCTGCTGATGCGCGGGGTCCGGGCGCATCATCGAGCCATCGCTTCTCTTGGGCTTCGTGGGGGGGTCCGGGCCCACGGCCCAGAGACCCAGCTGATGCTCATGATGCTCGGTTTGGGGGGGTGTTCCAACAGCAGAAAACCTCGTAAATACCGAGTGTTTTGTGGGTCCACGTAAAAACGCCCCTAAAATCGCTCATTTTACGCGCTCGAACGGCTTCGTGCCTACAAAACACCCGAACAGCAGGACCCCGAATGCCCTTAAGGGCATTCGGGGTCTTGCTTTTGGGGGTTTCGTGGGCACGCAAGCGTTCAAGCACATACAATCGGCGTGTTTAAGGGGGTTTTGGATGGCCTGGGGGAGGCCGCTGATGCTCATGATGCTCCCTTTCCTGGGTCCCAAAAGGCTTCCCAAGCCCAAAAACACGTGTTTACAGCGTTTTCTGAAGGTTTTTCGAAGGCAAAACGCATGCATAGAATGCTTTTAAGGCCCCCAAACCAACCCCACTGATGCTCCTGATGCGGGTGCGCGCGCGCGCGCGCGCGCGCGCGCGCGCCGGGGGGGGGGGGGGGGGAGGGAGGGGGGGCGAAGGCAGGAGAAAGAGAGACAGAGAGAAGGAGAGGACAAAGACACGGGAAAGAGAAGACAGTGCCAAGGTTCAAGGTTTCGTGCTTTGGGGGGCGGGGGCCGGCCCGTGCCGCTAGGCCTGAAATCGGGCAGCGCGAGGTCCCCAAAGGACCGAGCAAATGCGGACCTTTTAGCCCGGGTCGTCCCGGGAATAGCCTTGCTGGCCTCTGGCCTTCTGCGAAGCAGAATTAGGCCGGACGCCAGTGCCGCCGACCCCCGCGTGCCGCCGGTGAACGGTTTTTTTTTCGTGGTTTTTTGCGTCGCCACGGAGGCCCCCAGAGGGCGCGCATCATGAGCATCAGCGGGTCCAGCCCGGGACCCCCAGGCGCGCATCAGGAGCATCAGCGGCTCCCGGGGCGGGACCGCGGGGGGGCATCAGGAGCATGATGCCCCCCAAAGGGCGGGCATAAGCGACGTGTCTAAGCCCGGGGCTAGGAAAAAGGGAGTTTAGGGGCCTTATAAAGTGCTTAGAAACGTTAAGGGAGTCTCGGAGCCTCAAACGCTTAGAGATTTGAAGGGGGTTTAGGGGCCTGAAAATGCTTAGAAACTTAACGCTTAGAGATTTTAAGGGAGTTTAGGGGCCTCAACATGCTTAGAAACTGCTCGCCCCGGGCTTCTGCGTGCGCTGCCCGCCCATGGGCGCAGCCCCTTAAAATAATATATATATATATATATATATATAGAGAGAGAGAGAGAGATGTATATGTATATATATATATCATTCGTACATACACGTTTGGACATACATGCTTATTTGTGCCTTTGAAGATTGAAAATTATCGTCCTTCTTGTTGGTTTTGTTCTATCCGCGTAGCAGGCCCCTCCCAACCGTGGACCGGTGCTGCCCAGGCACCTTGCTCTCCAAAAGCGGCGGGAGCAAGGCCTCGCGTCAGCTGTTGGCCGTCCTTTTACCCGGTAATTTCAAATTGCCTCACCGGCTCTACCACGGCTCTACCAGGGGGGTTAAGGAGCGGTACATGTTGGGGCAATCTCAGGACCCTTGCCACTCCAGCGCTGCCTGCACATCGTACAGTCGTACACCTATGGCACCTACGGGGCCGGGGATTGTAGATTCGAGCCCTGCCAGGGTCGTTTCTGTTTGGTGCGATATGTTCAACTGACGAAGCCCGCGCCTGCGCTGCTTGACTCAAGGGCTCCCCAACTAAGGCGAAGAGCGTGAAGAGGTTGATGAGGATCTGAGGAGATACATCTCAGGTTGTTCAGTTTGGGGAAAGAGGCCGGCACAGGGCATCATGCTTCCTTTCAAGCTTTCACCGGGTTTTGAAGCTCTTAGGGGTTTAGCCCATCTAGTGATTTGCAGAAAGGCAATAGCAAAGGTAAAAGCACCTGATATCCCGCCAGCGCGGTGGTTCCCAGCGCAGCCGCCGATAGTGCCTTTGGGACACATCTGCATTGTCTTCTTCAAAGACTGCCAGGATTTCTCTCCATTGATTCTCATAGGCAGGCAGCATGCGCCGGGGCTGTCGCTTCTGGTTTGGGACTGGCTGTTGGTGTGCGCTCCGCTTTGAAGCATACCGTCCTTGCCCTCCTGACTTTCATTTCATAAGTACGCTACTCTTGCTCGCGGACTGGGACTGTGATGAGTTGCCAAGTGCGGAATGGGCAACTTTGCCGTGTGCTGACATGAGGAAGTAGGACGGTAGACATCACTTCTTTCGGGTCACTTGTCTCTGAATCAGGCAGGGTTGCCATGGCCGAAAGACTTACCATCCGCGTGGCAACGACGATCAGCAAGGGCCCTGCAGTCACGCAGAGGCAGGTTGGGCCGTGGCTGTTGCTGTTCGCGAAAAAAAGGATTTCAGAGTTGCTGCAACAACCGCTAAACCCTCTCCCGGCGAGCCTGCGTACTCCATCAAAGGCCCAAGGTAGCTTGCCTTAGCGTCCAGCGGACCGGTCGGGGAAAAGCAACAAACCTGCTTCTGCACACTACTCTAGAGCGCGGCAAAAGCGTGTTGACACAAACAAGGGCTTAACTTCTTCTCAGCAGCTCACAGCCCCCGAAACACGAGACAAACACCGGGCGTGGTGCTGAGGTTGGCAGCCGGAGCCACTTCTTGGGCAGCAACTCCTGGCGCTTCAAAAGCGGAAGTGAAAGCCCATTCTGCCACTCGGCCACTGGCACACACCCATGTATGTGCGTGTGTAGGTCATGATGCTCATTTCTGTTGGGCAGATCTCACTTGCGCTAGTTTTCTGCGTTGTGCACTCCCTTGCGCTTAACAAGTCAACACTTCACGGGCCCTTTTCTTAACAAGACCTCTGTCAGAAAGTGTTGACTCGTCTGTGCTGAATCTGACCGCAGCAAGTTGTCAAAGCCTAGTGGGAGGCCCTTCCTTCGCTCTCAGCGCGCGCACCATCAGTGCAAAGCTTAACCTGCCAAGCCCAAGAATCGCGAACTGTAGCGACTGCGTGGCCGACTAGACACAACGAAGAATGAGAGCTGCCAGCTTGCGGGATCAGCAGAATCTGAGCTATCGAAGTTATCGGAGGGCGTGCTAAGACATGATTCTCTGACGAGGTGCAATGTTGCGATGGACGTGGCGGCGGCGGCACCTCCGACTCCCAAGCGGAAGGGCCATACCTGAGGGAGGCACAGGCGGCAACTCTCCACCTCGAGGCTTCAATCAAGAATCAAGATCAGGGGCCATTGCAGGCATTTCTGAAGTTGTTGCATTAAGTTTCCTAGGGTCCTGTGCCCACAGCGAGATGGCTCAACAACCCTACCCACCCCCCAACCCATCCCTCACAATGACAAGCCCTCCAATCCAGCAATGACGACGTCCAGGCACACAGAGGGCAAAATCCCCGCAGCAGTTGGCAACAGCGGCTACTCCGACGACCTGCCAACAAACCAGATTCCCGACATCACAGGCACAGGTTCATTCTTTGTGCGATGCAGTCCTGCTCTCGGGTTAATTTATCCACCTCTGCTTGTTATTGTTGCGCTCAGTGTTGCAGCTATGCATGGCGCCTTCAAAGGCGTCCACGCATCTTTGGTTGCCAGGAGTGCAGATAAGCAAACCTGGGCGCAGCTGCCCTGAATGGCGACTTGGCTCAAACCACACGAACTTGAACCCCGAAGCACCGCAAATTGTCCATTGAAGTGGCCTAAAAACCCTCAAATCCCCTCAACACTCCTGAACTCCACTCGCACGACCCGCCGGCAAGAGACGGTCTGACTCAAAGCGGCCCACGTCACTGCGCCTCGCCTTTGCTTGCTGCTAGGGAGTTTGGGTGGAACAACAGGCTTGCTGCAGAAGATTGTTGAACCTCGTGAGTGGCCGGTGGCCCATTGTGAGTTCAATGACGGCGTCACTCTGCTTCAAGTCGGCAGCACGTGCACTCCACACGAGTCCAAGCTGCACGCGGGCGTAGGTCGCGGCATAGGGGATGAGGTTGGGGGAGACATTTAGCATCTTGAGGATTGCCTCCTGCAAGGGGCTTTTGCTGCATCGGGCAGCTGAAAGGATGCCAACTATTTTGGTTGCGCAGCAGCGCTGCTGCATTGGTGGGCACTGGCAAAGGGCCCAAAAACAAGAAACAGACTTGCGCAAACAAGGGTAAGACCAATCGAACACAGTAGTTCACGTGCAGGATGGGAGTATCGTCTGCTTAAGTACGCGCGGCCTCCTGCACACAGTATATATATATACACACAAACAATATGTGTGTACATATGATTACATATGGTCACCGAATGCAGGCTGTGTAACAAAACATGGGCGGTAAACGACAAATCAAACGACGAGGCGCAGTGGCCGCGCCACTTCTACGGCTGGGGTGATGTGATCTGCATTGTTGGACAAACGGCCAGGCCACTGCTGAGCACGGGCTAGTAAGAGGCTTCTAGGGCTTGAGAACAAAAAAGTGCAAACAAATCCACCAAAGAAGGAGGCGGAGTCCATACCCTTTCTGAAACTGTGAGGAGCCCTGTACGTTTTCCCGCCCCGCCGTGCTCGTCATGTAGACGACAGAGAGGGCGATGCCAACCGGCATGGCGACACTAAGTGCCCGTTGCAGCTCTGGCTGGGCAGCCTGAGACCGAGGTTGCATGGGCCCCAGTGTTGGTCCAGCATGGGGTTTGTGGGTTCTGTTTTGGAGGGTGGGAGGATGTGTTTCAAGCTTGCACGGAAATTCTGAAGGCACCTTTGCACCGCCGCTTGCGAAGGCCCGCGAGACCAGTCCCACTGTCGCTCGAGGCAGAAAGACCAGCAAATACCTTGGCACACAAGAGTACACGCTAAAGGACCAACACATATTAACAAGGTCAGAATCCGAATTCCAGCGACTAAGTGTCGCCCACCGAGGCAAGACCCGCGTTATCCGGATTCGGTGGTGCTTGGGGCTTGGGCCGGCTATCCTTTCTGCTTGGATAGGCTTGGGGGTGGTGTGTGCGGAGTGGAAACACAATCTCGGGTCTGACAACAGGGATAAGCACCGCACCTACAAAGGGTCCATGCTAGAAATCTTTCTTGGATGAAAAGTCTGCTGGCAGCTGAGCAGGGGCGGCTGGGGGCATTTTAGGAAATGCAAACGCTCCGTCCCAAGGCCAACTCAAAACCTTCTTCAAAGAGCGGGTATCTGAGCTCGACATCCAAAAAGCCAAGCGCGCATGATCCTCAACTATCCTCAACTCTTCTTGCTGGCAGCAGCTGGGCGCTATTAGACAAAAAGAAATGCTTCGCCACCCTTTCTCAGATAACAGCCGCATCTAAATTTCCACAGCAGGGGGCCGGGACTCGAGATATCAAAGACCCTTTAAGGCCCTTAACTCTTAACCATCTCACTCAAGTCCATCCTTCTAAGGCCTTGAGCCGTAAACCTTACAAGCCCTGAACCGGCCACAACCCCTAAGCTTCGCAAGACCAGGGTGCAGCATGTAGTCCGCCACCACGGTGCCCGGGCTGAGGGCAGCCAAGCCTTCGAAGATCTGAACCCTACATAAGCCCTTTTTGACACGATGAACCCATGGCCGGGTGCCCTGCTGCGTTCCCGCAAGGGGAAAGCTCCCAAGACCCAGATACGCCAGATGCAAGATTTGGGGTCTATGTGTTTTGACTCCCACTCTGACATCCAAAGCATCCCTGAAAATGGCCTTCTGGCCCCGTAAGTCTTCCCACAAAGGCGTTGTCGATGTTGCCTGGGCTTTGGGACTCAGTCGTCAGCCACGGGGTGGGTCTAGGGCCCTGGCAATGCCGCCGTCGCACAGACCCCTGCGTGGTAAATAGCTATCCAACATGCTGCATCGATAGCTCAACGAACCTTTGGGGTCGTCAGGGAGTTGCTTTAACGAGAGAGCCGGGAAAACTTGGAGGCTCCAGTACATGGAGCCCTTGGGCTGGTCAAGTGGGGAGCTTGGGGGCTGCATCAGCGGATCGGAATAGCACCGAGGGCAGCACTCAATATCGGCCCGGAGAGACCTCGGTGTCTAACGTTTGGGGAGGGCTAACAGGGGGGAGGCAAGTCAGTGCTCATTCTTTCGGGTTGGTCAACTGCAACCATGGGAAAAGACAACTTCGCCAGGATGGGTTGGCCCTTCAGCCACCAGAAGCCAGGTGAAGGTGCCCCCCCTCCCCCCCCTCTTCCCAAAAACACACACGAACAATTAATTGATCTGGGAACTTGAGAGCAGGGCGAACGAAAGCTACAGTAGAGTTTTGAAGGTTCCCAATATAATATGATGTCAGGTTTCGGGGGTGCTGGGGGCGATTTTGTTGGGGGGGCCAGGGGGGGGGGGGGTGGCCCTCGAGCCAAGAGGCTGATCCCCAACGCTGGCAAAGCAAAACGTAGGAGTTCCTGATCAGGGAGCACAGCTTTCTGCATTCCCGCGAAGCCTCCGTTGCTAGAACTGTGCTTCAACTTCTTTGACCTTCCAAGTTTGGGGCTAATATGTTGAAAGCCCTGAGCAACAGCATTCCATTGTTAGCCTATGCTGCCAACAGAGAGGCGTGCAACCTTCGCCGCGCACACGCGATCATCAAGCTGGGCCCGAGATGCAATTCCACTTGCTAAGCCGAAGAATCATGAAGAACCCTCGTATGGGCAGCTTTCTGAGGCGTGACTCTGTGTGGAGGTCCCCCCATTCCCCCCAAACAAAAAATTGGGGAACCGTGCAGAGTGGAACAAATAGTTTACGTGGTCCCGATGCTCTCATCATATCTCATCTCAGCGTCGGCCATGCTGGTCGGCTTAGCCTCCTCCGGCTTTCCAGAGCGCAGGGGTGCGGGCAACCGCCCGAACCCCCGACCTCCGGGTGGTCGACTCTCACGTGCCTCTCTCCCACATCATATTCTCTTCTTCTTCGTCTTCTGCTTCTTCCTCCTCTTCTTCTTCTTCTTCTTCTTCTTCTTCTTCTGCTTCTTCTGCTGCTTCTTCTGCAGGGCATGGGGGGCCCCCAGGGACCCTTCGCGCAAGAGCGCGCCCAGTCACCGGTCCTCTGTGAAACAACTCCCTTCTCCTCCCGGTCTCCGTTGCTCGCCTCTCTCGCTCTGTCTGCCGTGCCATCCCCGAAGGTCTTCTCCTACATCATTGCTTAGTACTTTTCATGGTTGACGAAATGTTGACGATACAGTCGGGCTACATCCAATCAGCGGACAGGAAACGGCCGCCTTTTCGCCACACCACACGTCGGTCGCCGCTTGACTGATGCTTTAAGCATGGCTCAGAGGAGAAACGGCACATAGAATACAACCGCTTTTCGGCGTGAAACACCGGGCCGCCAGAATGGGTTTAATGGCGAAGCCTGAGAATGCGATTCAAGGCGAGCTCTGCCTGAAGCGGCCACTCTAACTAGGCTTTCTAAACTTACCATGACACGGAGACCAGTTGCAAACTTTCAGCTGGCTCGGAGCCTGTTTAGCGCAGGAATACGGAGGCCGGCTTCCTACAAGTGGTGTGATCTTCGTGTGGCATCATTCTCCCATGTAGGTCGAAGCCTTGTATGTAGAGCCTGCTAGCGATCTGCACCATGAGCCCGAAACCTGGCGTAGTGGCAGAGCTCGCTTGTGCGGTGCGCGGGTGAAACAGGAAAGAGAGGAGCCCTCAACTCCTGGTCAAGATGTTCTCGTAGTACCTCAGTCAGTCGAGTTCGGGGCTTCTGGAGTGCTGATGCAGGATCTCCAGATTCTGCATGTTTAGAAACTCTGCATCCGAGGTGCCAGGGGATGTGTGGCTCCTTCTTTTTCTTCTGGAGTTCTTCGATGCGAGCTGGAAGATCTCGAGTCAGAGCCCGCTCGATCAACCTTGGACCATTGCGATGCATTCTGGGGTGCAGAACGCCCCGGCCGATGCGCCTCTTAAGCCCGCTGGGTAATGGAGCCACCTTGAGCCATGGCACGCCTGCCTCTTGACTTTCTTCTTCTGCGCCTCCAGGAGCATGGAGCTTCCGACTTTGCGGATCAGCACATTGTTCATGGCGAACATTTGTAACTCCCCTGAGGCGCAGCAAGTCAAGTGATTGTGTCAACGCACGGGCCATGGACAACACAGCAGCTTCCCTTTGTGCAGGGCTGACTTTGGACCGGGGTCGGCGTCTCCGTCTAAGCTGTTCGGCCACTACTGAACTCCAAAGAAAAAGGCGCCTCGAGGCAGCTGCAAATAGAACTTAGAACAATATAGGCTTATGGGGGGCCAATCCTCAGCAGCCTTAGCAGCCTTAGCAGCTCTTGGTCTGGCCAAGCTTCGGGCTGCATTGCCATCCTTGTTGTCCTGCACCCAAGACCCAGGCATTCTCCGGTGAAAATGACGACTTACAACGTCCACAGTCGCAGCTGGTCACATGCCGGGCTATCATGTCGTCATGACCAGACCTGGAAATACAAGGAATCCGTGCTGCCCTGAAGCCCTGTCCATCACTGCCTGCTGCATCAAAGCTCGGACTTCCACGAAACCCTAAGTGTACTTGTTGATCCGGAGGGTCCTTGAGGGACTTCCGGTTGCTGGGCTTCCCTTCCTGCTTGCTCCCCCGACGCCCCGTGAGCATGGAGTGGCTCCTGCCAGGGCGCGGCTGGGGCTGAATGTGTTTTAGGGTTTGGAGCTTAGGGTCACATGGGTCGGGTCTGATTTCTCTTGAGGGCTGGAGCGAATGGAGCTTCGCTGCCGCTTAAGCTGGCCAGGGCATGCCCTCCTGCCTGACCAACAGCGTCGTTTCCACCTTCCGCGTCACTGCAATCTTCTCCAGGATGCCACGCTTTTCCAGCTCCTCCAGTGCCGCGTCAACGGTTCGTTCGGAGCTTTTAAGCACTGAGCATGTAGCTGCGACATGCTTTTCGCGACATGCCTCTCTCCTGTGTCATAGGCATGTCTAGGTCTCAATGCTTGAGAACACTGGTACTTACTCAACCTGCATAGTTTGGTCTCATGTCGCAAAATAACTGTGGGACACCCTCGGTCGTTGGGACGTGCCAATGCCAATGGTTTTGACACACCCCATCTCACTACAGCCAGAGAGAGGCTGCTCCCGGGACCTGTACTGCATGGAAGAGCCGCATGTAGTCGAAAAAGTTGGAGCCAGACCACCTTGGGTAGCTTTGCTGGTATGCTTTTTTGATGCAAAGACCCGGAATCTGGTCGCAGCACCCAAGCTAGCACCCCCCCCTGCTCTCCCGTAGGAACTGGGATTTGCTGGGGAAGGGTGAAAGGCCGCCTGGAGCAAGTGCTCGAGGCAAGGTCGGACAGCGAGAAGCTGCTGGAGAAGACGGTGCTCATCTTTACCACAGCCGCCTGGAGGGCTAGGGTTCTCTAGGGCCTTCTAGGGGGCCTTAAAGGGGTTCCATGGGTGTTTGGGATCTCGGTCCTCAAGAGAGCTTCTTTGGCTTTTGGGCGCATTTTAGGGTGGGCAACTCTTTTGGAAGTGTGACATTTCCCGGGATTTAGCATCAGTTTGCAAATAGGCTTCTGGGCTTAGAGCGTGTACAGGGCTTATCTCCTTTCAGGTTTGGGAAGTTCTGCTTTCAGGTTTGGGAAGTTCCGGCGGCACCTGGCTTAGCGCCACGTATTCGGATCGATAGGATGTGCGTGCAGTATAATGTTTGAAAAATGAGTAGAATCGCGTTTCTGGCTTGACGCGAGGGGAACCTGAACGTCAAAACACCCTCAGCGTTTTATCTTCTCGTTGGTGGGGAAAGGGGAGAAGCATGGAGAAGCACAAAGGCTGCCGGTAGGAAGACGCTAGAAACCCCTAATCCCCACAGAAATACTTGCGTGTAATTGCAAGCACTTACATTCCTTGCCTCCAGGGGGTCAAGGGACTCTAGGAGACACATGGTCTCTCCCACCATCGCGGTGTGTGACCTCGCAGCCGACCACAAAGGCACGAAGGGTAGAGCAAAGTTCCGGTTTTGACATGGGTAGATGCCAAAACAGGGACCCTGATTCGTTTGAACCCCGAAAGCACCTGGAGATCCAAACTGTGCCCTGAGTCTTTTTAAGGCGCTGGCCATGTCACAATGTCAACGGTCTCCAGATCCTGCGGGCACTTTTTTTTGCCAAGTGGCTTAGGGTTTATAGGGTTTGGCCTTCAGGGCTCCATGACACACGGATGTTTTGAGGTCATGGTCTAAAAGATGCTCATGAGTATCAGTGAGAACCAAGATGACCCAAGCATGCCCGCCCACGCTCCTCGGTATTTTGGTACACCAAGGGCTCCGATTCGTCTGCCTCCCTCTCCACCTGGACTGGAGTGACATGGAGTTGATGCCCAATCGAAGGCCATCTTAGGTTCATCGCGCGAGCGTTATCTTTGCCTCACCTCTCCTACTGCGAATCTGCTCCTCCAACCTAGGAAACTTTACACACTCAGCTACTCCCCCAAAACCCGGAAGGCCTACGATGGAAAATTTCAGCCCAGCCTTGAGGTGTCCGTCCAGAATCAGTTGACCCAAAGACTCCTCAACAAAACAGCGCGTGTCAGGGCGGCTTTGCTGACCATACAGCTTACGGTCACGTCTCCGAGGCTTTGTCAGGTGACCTTCACTTGGTAACTATCTCCTAGCGCCAAGTTCGAGGCCTGCGCTTCTTGCTGCGAAGATGCACGAATGTACAAGGGATTTCCCAAGGAAATCTTGGACACAAAGTTGGTCACGCTGTCCGGTATGGACGACATGGGCACCTGATCGGACTGCACCTACTGTCCCTTTGCTAGGGCTAGGATGGGTGGCCTGAGGTTAACGTAGGGACGCTTTTGGGCCCCATAGGCTACATATCCCGAATACAATGGCCCGCACTACCATGGGTAGCAAAATAGAGATCCTCACAGATGAAACCGTGCCATCATGTTGCCGTACATATTTCTTCTGCACCGCACGGAGCACTATTCCACGTGGAAGGTTGGGACTGGACAACAGCAGGCTGCCCTTGCTCAAGAATGGCGCAAGTGCCTCCAGATGGGCCGCCATGTACTCCTGCAAACGGAACAAGCCCCAGCCCGAATCGTGTTTGTTTTCAGTTCTGCCTCTAGCATCAGAAAAGCAGGCGCGGCTTCTGACAAAGCTTAACACGTCTTCAAGGGTTTGACGTTCCCTCTAAACCCGTAAAACATGGTCGGCAACGCATCTGCCAGAAAACCAGCTCTCGATAGCACGAATATGATGACGTGAATGACCTCTAGAACCCCTTGCCCCGAAACCTATAGACAGCCCTCTGCAACGCCCATGTCCTGGCAGATTGTCTCCGACAGGCCAGCGAGCTCCACAAACCACCCACGGGATGCCGAGGCCTCCCGTGTGCATCTTCTGGCTGTTACAAAGTTCGCACATTTTGTTGCTTGCAGGAGACCTGCCGAGCATTCTTTGCGTGTCTTAAATCTGGCCTGCACCGTGCACCAGATCGTTGTGCATGGGCCCTGGGGGGCCCCAGAACACTGCAGGATCCTATGTAAACCTGAACGATTTTAACCAAGCCTCAACCCGGATACCTTGTTGTCAAGGGGTCGGGCCCATGAACCATTCAAGAGCTGTACTGGGACACACAGCCTCGAAACCACCCCAGGCCTTCACAAACTCGTGACTCATGTCCGGGTTCTTGCACATTGTGAAGAGAGTCACCGGGTTGCCCGCCCTCTCTTCCACCACCTTCATGAGCCTCAGTCCGGGCAGTTTCGCTTCAGCAGCTTTGGGCGAGCTGCGGAAGTTCATGCGCGAGGCAGTGCGTCGTTTGGAAAAACAAAGCCCATCATAAAAATCATGCTACCGCAGGCCTCAAACACACAGTGTAAGACCACGACGACCGCACATTGCATGACTTGCAACGGGAGCACGATCAAGGCCCACATACGAATTCGGTTCTGCAACTCTGTCGGAGGTGCACATGAGGCTGGCCTGGCACCATGACGACCATGGAATGTGCAAGGGATGTAGGCGAGAGCACGAAATCAAAGCCAAATGCGAGGCTTTGCCCAAATGCCAAGAGAGTTTGGCATAGTCGGCACTTCACGAGGAGCAAGCGGACGCACGAAGCGCAGACGTCCAAGTGCCCGCAAAGGAGAGAAAAACACGCCTGACACGTTTTTGCTACCCGGCGGTGCACAAGATGCAAAGGACACTGGCGAGAGCACAATTTGTCACGTCCGACGACAAACTCGAGAGCCTCGAAAATGGCTGCATTCACCGCACACTTACCTGAATTTAGAACCCTCTGTGCCCTGAGTTGGAAGCCCATCGTGTTGACGCACTGGGGAACAAAACTCATCTATCCCAAAAGTGCAGGAGTGCTGCAGGAGTGGAGTTTTGGCGAGATGACGTGAAAGCAAGTGGCTTGGACACCACCTCATAGAAGCAGTTGAAGTGGCCCAAGGTCTTCTCGAAGAGCGTGGTGCCGAACTCCAGCTGGCATACCTATGTGGCAGAGGAGAGGGCAATTTGCCCCGTTCGTATTCGTTGCTGCAGCTAAACCTCACAACTACAACTACATCAACTACATTCAACTACAACGTGCAGCCTGCCGCCGGTACTGCAGCTGCTGTCAATGCGCAACGGCCAGACCACACCATCAAGCACGACTGGGCACTTTGTGATGCTGACTCTCTAAACACTTGACAAGCAGCAATGATGACAGCAACGTGGCTCCGCAGCCGTTCCTGGTGTCGGGGTGGTACTCTTTGGAACTCATGGAAGGGGGCTCGCCCTGAGGCCCTTACACCGATCAGGCTAAGGGCCTACAGCCACGTGTTCGGCCATGTGTCGATAAGTGATATTGCCACGTCTGCGAGTTCATGCAGCGCAGACACGCCTCAGATCTGACATCGTGATCGTGGAAGCCGTGGCTTCTTTGAAGCTAAATTATGAGACGGAACCTTTCACAGAGGATCGAATTGCCTTAGGTGACTCAAAGACTACAGTTTGACTCTGCAAAGGCTGATGTGAGTTTGCGTCCAGGCACGGGTATCTTCCTGTACACTGCCGTCATAAGCATCTCGGAGGAGGTCGGGCAGCTTCTCGACCGACTCCAGGTGAGGAAGCAGCTGGCTTAAGGCCTGGCCTTCGTCATCCGGAAGTGTTGGTTGAACTGCATGGCGATACGCCCCCAGGCAACTCCGCACAAGCTCGGCGCCCATGCGGGCCAGGTCTTGTGTACGGGGGCCCATGGTGCCAATGACCGGCATCATAAAGTATTTCTGCGCCGCATACACCACGGCATGCTGCGCGAGCTCAATCTTTCCCACACCTGCGGGGCCCAGGAGCACCACGGAGCCGCCACCAGAAAACGGGCTGTTGCTTGGTGGGTTTTCCAGCCTGCTGGGCTTGCTAGGTGGTGCCTTCGGTGGCTCTTGATGGAGCTCCTTGTCATAGGAGCCACCAAGCCAACTCTGTACCTTGCACACGCCGTCCCAGTCTGGCAGCCCGCAGAGCTTCACGACGTTCGTTTGCAGAACCTCAGCCAAAGCCTCCTTGTCGCCCTGCGCACCAGCCGTCAAGCTGCGCTCGTACCAGGGGAAGAGGATCTTGCCACCTGGCCCAACGCCTGCACCCAAATGGGAACTCCCCAAGGACAGCAACGACTGAAGGACTAGAGAGTAGTGTAGCAGGGTTACCGGGTTTGAGGCTTTGGGCTGAAAGGTGCAGGGGCCTAACGGTTCTGTTTGTAAGGGGTTCTAGAATTGAGTAGCAACAAGTTTCGCGATAAGCGTGCTAAAAGTGAAAGAAACAAGACCACTCTGTTTATAAGTTTAACGACACCACGTCTCTTCAAGCCAGAATCCTCCACAACTGCCCCAAAAATCAGATGTTAAACATACCTAGGAGGTTCCTAATTACTCTTGTGGGTTTCTAGATTAGGGAGAGTGGACTACTGTGAGCAGCTTCGATGCGAAGTGCAGGTTGCCTATGTGAGGATTGCAGATGGCCAGCTGCGGCTTGAAGATCTTCACGGCCTGCTCCTTCCCTCAGCTCACACGGGGCTTTTACTTGTTGGACCCCAAAGTTGAAGGAAGCACAAGGCCACCAAATTGGTATCAGCCCTTAGGTCGCCCCAAACTCTGTGGAGCAGAGGCACACCGGTAGGTGACGCAGGGACTTACAGGGTCTCGATTTGTTTGAGGGTTTAAATGTATGTGTGTAGAGACTGCATGGCACTGCGGCAGTCGCGCGCGACTGCTAGACCTAGCCAGCGCTCAGAAGGTCCAGCTCCAACCTCTTGATCCTACGCTTTGAGAGCCTTTCACCATACCTAGGCGCAAGCGTTCAAAAGTCCGAGCTGGCCAAGGCTCCTTTGACCTTGATCGGCTTCAGGTCTTGGAAATCGAGCTCCACCGTGCAACGCGTCCTAAACACAGAAGTGGGTGCAGGAGAAATGCCCACCGCAGGCCGGTACACCTGCTGCACCCAAACCCAGATAAGAACCCAAGCGGAATGAAACCTGCAACCCTCACCCTGCCTTGTTTCTTCATCGACGAGGATGCCGTTCGCTGGGGCATTGGCCATGAGCCGTGCGGCCAAGTTGACTGCATCACCCAAGACAGTGTACTCCATGCCTCGGTTTGCAACAAAATTTCGGTTTAGGGCGTGTGCAACGGAAAAGTCTTAATCTCTGTTCTCTTACTCTTCTCAATCCCCAAGGCCCCAAGCCTGTGTGCTCGCACTCCCACCATGTTGGGCGGTGCAGCTGTTGAAGCTTGAACTCTAGGACTCTAGGACGGAACTCGCAAATTTAAGGCATGAACGTAAATAGAACTGCTTGTTTCCGAAAGGAATCCGCAAGCATAGAACGTAACGGGATGTGATAAAATACATCATGAAGAAGTACTTCCAAGACATGTTTGAAATATTAAGTATCATTCAATAATATAACGTGCAGAGAGAGAGAGAGACTGGGACCTCAAACAACCGCGTTCGGTCAGTAGTGAAAAGCAAAGAACAGACGTATCGCACTTCTGGCGACAAGCGTCAAAGAAGCCTTAGGCTTGGCAGCCCTGAAGCAGCCAGCGCTGCATATGACACACAGAAGCTACGAAACGTACATGAGCCGCAATCAAGGACGGAGTATTCAATGGATAAAGTGGCATAAATATGATGCAATCTTTGTACTGTTTCCACACACTAGCGGAGGTGGGGCGGTTTCGCGGAAACTCCGAGCGGCTGATTTTCAAACCACGAACCGTGCTGACAGGATTTAAAAACCACGAAACTTCACGAAAAAGAAACACCTTGGCCCCAACCCTTAAGTCTTCGAACCCTGAAGTTCTGAGGTGGGGAATGAGTTTGGAAATTTGCTTCAACGCATTGTGTGCGAACGCCTGCCAGCTTGATGCTGTACACGACGAAAGCCCTAGGCAAAAAAATCTGTGCGCAGGTGCGACCCTCTCTTGCGAACATACGATGCGACCGTGCCATAAAGCTGATACCCAAAACCCGAAACCCGATTCACAAGCCTTTGAGCTACCCTAAATCCCGGAGGAAAAAAAAAACTAAGCTCGTGCCCTCTCCCCTGCGGCTCAGTTCGCGCTCCGCGCTGCCACACACGCCACAGTAGGCTCGCCCTGTGGAGACGCCACAACGAGCGACCAGGCCCAACTTGATGAAGGCCCGTACCTGTCTGAGGGTTTACCGGGTTCAGGGGCTTTGTGAGTTGTTCCAATCGGGGCTTCACTTTTCGGGACTTTGAAACTGCGTGTAATGGGGCTCATAAGGCCTTTGATCGCGGACTTGGCGCACCCCCGATTTGTGTGGGACATGAGCTTGACGAGGGATCATTGCTCACTCTTGCCCGTCTTTACTAACTCTGCTTGCTTCCCGTTGGTTCCGATTAGCTTGTTTGGAAATACTTTAGCGACTTTGCGCTTTGTGAGAATCCGTCAGGTTTCTGAGGTCGAAGAGGGTGGGGGGCCATTCAGCCAAACGATAGCCAATCCGAGCTCTGTCAAACGCACAGTGTGCCCCGATACCCCTTAATCACCATCGGGCATTGCACGATGACATTTTAAAGTACATAGGGTTCCGGAATTAAGTCTTGTGCGCTGTGGGCACTTCCGATCACAAGCCCCGTTGGCCATTCAAAGGAGCCGAGCTGCAATGTCGAAGCATGACAGCACCGCCCTTGTGGCATCATCGGTATGAACCTTGCCGACACTGATTTCCAATAGTAGCAGAACCGCTGTCATCATGGTGGTGGTGGCAGTGGCAGTAGCAGTAGCTGTGGCTGCAAAGAACAGGAGCAGTAGCAGTAGCAGCAGAAGCAGAAGAAGCAGCAGCAGCAGCAGCAGCAGCAGTCGTCGTTCCTCGCATTGCTAAGCCTTTTGGGCCTGTTATGAACTCCGCACGCGTCTAAACAAAAGCATTGTGTCCCCAGGTTGGAAGAAAACTGAGCGCGGAGCCAAGGGCGGCAGGCCATAAGCCAGCAGGAAAAGCATGCCCTTGTCATCGATAAGGAACTTGTTCAGCGTCCCCTCCTCAGAAACCGATGTGGCATCTGGAGGGTAGGTCCAAGCAAGAAAGCCTTGCAAGCAGTGCATGAGGAGAAACAGTGGCCTCATGCCCAAATAACCCAGCTGCAACTGCCCTCGAACTTACAACATCCCCCATTTCCATGAAGGCCTAGCCTAGTGCAAGGTCCATACCTTTGAGCCATGCATCGTTGGCATAGCAGATTCGCTGCACGGACACCATGAGCTCCTACCCAGGGTTTCAGGTTTAGGGCTCCTGCAGTGCTTTAGGGTCTAGCATAGGTTCGCAACGCAGGTGACGTCTTGGTACAAAGAAGACGACAACTCAGAAAGCCATGCGATGGAATTAGACACATTCTCAGAAAGCGTATGCCCTTCCCAGCTGCTGACATGCGCTACGCCTTGCTCTGTCTTAAGATGGAGTTCGGCCTGAGCGGTGTCTGCCCCTTCATCAGTGGAGACATCCACGCCAGAGCAGGAGATGAAGAGGGTGGAGATGTTTCCTCAAAAGGTTCGACATGCATCAGGATCGCATCTTGCTCAGCTCAAGCGCGCATCCACGGATCACCATTGCCTGCAACTTGGATTTGGATTCGTGCTACGCCTTTGGTGCAAACAGGGGGCGCATCTCGTTCACATATGTCAGAGTGCCGTCTTCGATCTGCTTGAAGACGGCCGAGGGCACAAACTTGCGAATGATGTCCTGTTTCAGGCTGATTATGGATGCGACTTCTGCGTTGAGCAAGGCTTGAATGCGCCGAAGAAAGATGTCGACACAGCATCTACTGTGTGAGACATGTTCCTAACAAGCATGGCATGACCAGTTGAAGAGGCAAGCTGCCAGCTCTGCGATGGTGAACTGCAAGTCTTTCCTGGTGTCTCGCTCCTGCGCTGAGGCCTGTGAAGACTTTGTGAAAGGTCGGATCGAACCCTGCCCCCCTTGGCACTTTGTCATTAACCACAAGCGAACCCCTCAGTTTTGTTGATGCTTTTCAGGAGGGCTTGTCTTAGAGGGCTCAATCTTCAAAGGGTCCAGAAGGTTTGGTGTTTTGGGCACCCGCAGAGTCCAGAGTCAAGACGCCGGGGCCTTGACGGTGGGAAAGGTGAACTTTGACTCGTCTAGCTTCAGAAGCAGGTGGAAATTCTCGTTGTCAAGCTGCCGTCTCCTATCCGGAATTACCTCAGTCGAAGGGCTTCAGGGCCAAGCAAACATGATTCCTCTAAAATCAGAATTACTGTGAGTTCACGCCGGGCAACATAATTTTGCACGTGCTCCCAAGCCTGTGGGCTGAGGCAGGTCTCCCCGTTCTTGGCCAAGGGCTCTGCGATGGAGATCTGCTCTAGCGGGGCACCTCACAGGAACTGTGAGACCCTCAGAGGCCCTGTGCACTCCCCGACTCCCCGCCCCGAATACGGCACATTGCTGGAACATTGCAGGAGGCAACGTGATGGCAGCACGTCCGTTGCGCGCACCGGCCTGCGATGATGTACTCGCACCGGGGGATGCCAATCTCAGGGGGCTCCACGCCACCCACTTGCAGAATGGCGATCTGGCACGGATACAAAGAGACAACGGGGGTTGGGTGGGTTTCTGGCTTGGGTGGATCCCCTTTGCAGTAGAACTTGCCCCTGAGGTGCTGAGTCTGGAACTGAGTCAATCTTTGGGTGATGCAATTTCAAGACTGTCAATCAAGGCCATGGCTATTCTTCAATACTTCAACGTTGCGTCCACAAGATGGGCCACGCGCTAGCCGCCTCGCCACATCCCAGGCCGATGTGCAGACACAGGCGGACACCGTCAACGCCGGTGTCGAACATGTGCAGGCGTTTCTGGATCCTGGTGCATGTCAACTTTCGTTTGGATTCCCAGCCTATGCTTGCTCATAGACTTTCGCACTTCAACACGTGAAGAACATGAAAATGGACTGCTCGTTGCAGCCACAGCTTGCAGGTACAGTACTTCTACCCGGGCCTACATGCTAACTACTCCTTCTGCACGCCTGCTTAGCTCCCCCTCCTCCTGCTACTTTTGCTTGAATCCCTGAACTCAGATGGGCGTCTCGATGCAGCAAGCAGAGGCTCTGAGCACCGCAGTCGCCATGGGACCGATGTCCTTCGCCGCAACAAGGAGGCACACATGCACAGCGCATGCCGATGCACCTGCCTTTCCTTCGCTCCATGACATGCCAAAAGCCCCTCCGGTCCGGTTGGTGATATGAGCCGTGTGGGGGAACCTTGAACTTGCTCTGATCTCCAACCTCTGTGTCATCCACAGCAGGGAAATAAATCATCAGCGCATCCCCGCTGAACTTGATGACGTCACCTCTATAAGCATTGATCAACCTCAGCTGGCTTCATGTTCTATGCATGATGTCTCGTCTTGTACTGCTGTGTCTAATCCATAAGGACACCGCCCATGCCAGAATCCGAGGGGCTGGATCAGGGGCGTGAAGAAGGATGTCAGACATTGCGAAAGCAGCTCGGCCCCGTTGGTCTTCTTCGCAAGCCGCTCTGTGAGCGCCGTGAAGCCGCTGGCATCCGAGAAAACAACGGCACCTGAGCCTCGGTGGAGGACGATGTTGCCGTCGTGCACTTCTCCCTGCAGATAGGCCTGCTGCAACTTTGAGTCTCAACAAACTCGTGTTGTCATTCTTTCTGGGCAAACTGGTAAAGTGATGAAACGGTCCCTGAAAAGAAGCGCATGGCATCTCAACTTGGGCGAGCCCAGAAGATGTTGCCTTAATGCAGGCACTTCATGCGGAACCCCTGCTCCACTGAACTCGACTCGACTCAAACTTCAGGCCTGCTGCACGATCCAGGGGACGAAGGCTAGGGAGCCATGCAAGGCTTCGAGGTTCCGGTTTTTGAACCAAGCGACGGCCGCTGTCGGGAGTGGCTTTCGGTTGCCTTGATTGTCTTCGATGTCCCAGATGCCGTTCTCGTTGCTTCTCACCAGTTGACGCATGTCTTCCGTCTGCGGTGGCATCTGGCGCGTCTTCCGGGTGGTCAGCACCTTGGTGGCATCCAGAGTCTCCAAGCCAAAGATGGACTTGCGAGGGCTCGAGTTCGGCGAAGATGGCAGATCTGCCTCATCGGCGCTAGACAGTGGTTGGACGCTGCTCTTCGATCCTCGGCCGCCCATTGCAGGGCAACTTTTCCGGGTGCGGCCCCTACATGGGGCCACTGGGGCCTTTCAAGTCTCTATGCTTTTGAGCCCATCGGAGCTACAGCGAGAAGCATTTGCATCCCAAGCACGTGGTGCCCAAAACTGACAATTTGAAGTTCACGTCAAATCTGGCTTCGCCTCTGCTCTAGCGGCATACCTGACCTGTACATGTGGTGCACATGGTGTGTGTGTGTGTGTTGCCGCGCAACAGTGGCCTTCGGCCAGGACTTGCCAGGACTCAACTACAGACAACTTCATACAGCCTCCAAGACTCCAAGAGATAGGCCTCGCGGACGCGTTGGGAGAGCAGGACGGCATGAATGGGGCGGCCGCAATGGCGAAGGGAGCGCCAACATGGCGGCCCAAGAGATGCAGCAACTGGATATGTCCCGAAAGTCAAGGTTCCGTGAACGTGCAACCTGAATAAGAACGGGGGATCTCCGAAAGGAAAGATTATGCGAACGCAGCCTGGAACATGTTCCGAGCTAGCCTTGCAGGAGGCTGCAAGAATAGGTAGACTATGGTGAGCTGCAAATAAATTAGCGGTGTTGGTGATAGGGTATGGTGATAGGGTATTTCATCATGTTCTTCCGGTTGCTCCTGCTATTCAACTGTCCGCTTCAAGACCTACTATTTCTTGCGGCCCCTATTCACAGCTGACGATCTGAAAAGCCTATTGCGAATCGACATGCTAGCACGACCCCTGAGCAGGACCCTGCAGACTGATGCAGGCTGAACGTTCCTCAGGTGCACTCTCCATGGCGCAAACAATGGAGCTTCAGAGACGTTTAGCGTACTGACTTTTTGCTCCGTTTGGGATCATCGCCCTCCTGCAGCATGGTTTGAGTCTCAGGGACATGAGCACGGTCCAGCCATGACGACGCCAGGACCCCCCAAGCATCGGCTGTTGCTACACATTCTAGCATTTACATGGCAGGACCCTGCGTGGCGTTTCAGAGCCACTCTCAAAAGCCGATACGTCAACTTCGATAACAAAAGATCAGTCACTCGCACCCCATCCAGAAGCGAGAACTCCGAAAGGATGTCAGCCCTGCAAGCCGCCTCTTGAAAAACGAGCAGGCAAGAATCCCAGCAAAAACAAAAAGCAAGTCAGCCAAGGTCAGACTGGGACGACGAACCGGACAATGCTGCTTGAGGTTTTTCGGCTGTCCACGACCGTGCACGGGAACGGTCAAACTTCATGTTTACCTGAGGACTGACTAGACTTCCCCCGCATGAAAAGAGTGTAGGCAAGTTGATGGATACTGTAGGGATCATCCGGGATTGGGCGCGCCAGGGTCGGAGACAGTGGCCGGGCGGCCAAGAGACCCCGCGAAGAGGACAGTAGGCTAGTAGGAGGGTAGCTGAGCTGAAACCGAAAAAAACTCAAAACACGTCAGGAAGAAAAAATCAATATCAGCTCCAAATATCCCAAAGATAACGCAGCATCATGGACTGAAAGGACTCCTCCGTTGGGCCGAAAAGCTTCTCGGCATCGCCGTGGCGAAGTTGGCGCTGTGCCTTCTCAGGGTTCACAACAAGCGTGGCAAAGCTCCGAAGGTCGCAAGGGGGACCTAAGGGGACCTAAAGGCGGCCTAAGGGCCATTCAGGGCTTCTGCCGGGCGCGAGTTGGGGACGAGGAGGCTGCGTGTTGAAGTATAGTTGCAGCATGGCAATGTGTCGCAGTCTCGGCTATAAGTTGAAGTGGCCACGTTCTCCGAACGAGCCGCCGAATGCCAGCTTGCGTATGGGCAGAACATGGTCGTGCCTCTTCAATTTTTTGAAAGAGGTCATCCACATCCTCAGATTGGCCGACTGCCTTTTCACATCCCTGCATCAGAATGCCGGGCAAGTACTGGCCCTCTAGCATTGGCTTCCTTTCTGGAAGATGCCAACATCTTCTGTGGACAAGCAACTGAAGGCATTCAAAAGCTCGATTTTGCAGACTCAACCACCCTTAAACCTCAGCCACTTTAGACTTTAGCCAAGCCGCAACTGAGCTCGAGCTGGCTTTGCCAACTTCCGCGTTAAGGCGCACGAGCTCAAAGCACTCGATGGCCTCAAGCACAGTTGCGCCGCTCTCTCTCTCTCTAAACATGCTTGCGTGTATGCTGCTGGACATTGCAAGTCAATTTTTGTGCTGCACACACTTGTGGCTCGAAGTCCTCGTTGTAACCTCAAGCCCCGTAAGGCGAGGACTTCAGCATCCATCCAAAGGCCCAAAGGAAACTACAAAGCCGAGAAAGCTCGGGAGAAACCAGCCTCCTCGAAGTCGTCCAATTCGACATAAGCATCACCCAGAGCAAGGAGGCAGCGGCTGCCATCTTCGGAGCTCAACTGCCCCCGGGATTCCAAGATCCTCCTCTTGTTGGCTTCAAGCTTGTTGCCCGTACAGCTTAAACCACGCGCACTTCTGAGAAAACACCACCCAAACCTCGAACTCCAAGCGTGCAGATCAAGTGAGGGTCAGATTCGATGGTGACTTCTCTGAGCAGCCCGGATCAGTTGAGGGACGTTGAGGGCACACGGCTCAATCCATTATAAGATGCCACGCGTTCCGACAGGACGATGCCTAATTCGGTGCTGTTGGCATTCCATGGCGGGGAACCAGTGCCCCGGTTTCATGCATTGCACATGCACGGACGAAAGCCCAGATTATCGTGGTACTCTCGCATTTTCTCGTTGCTGCTCTGATGCGTTCTTCGGGAGGAGCATGGACCGGGGCAATAGAACAGATTCAAGTATAGTTGCTGAGCAAGAGTGGTCTTTCATCTGCAACAGCCTGGCAGAGATATCCCTTCAAGGTCAATGCCAGCTCAGCGAATGGAAAGGACCATTGATCGATGCTCCTGATATCTCCTGACATTCCACGATGCGACGTCGAGACGGGCCTTCTCCCATGAGTTCAACTGCTCCAGGCATTCTGGTATCGACATATGTTGACACATGCTCGCAAATGATTTTTCGCTGCAACGAAAGTCCTTGACTTGTACCACTCAGGGAGGGAGAGACAGAGAGAGAGAGAGAGAGAGAGAGAGAGACACACAGAGAGGGAGAGAGGGCCCATTCCAGAGAGAGAGAGAGAGAGGGCCCTTTCCGCGAACTCCAGCGCGCAGAAGAGGAAGAAGAAGAAGACGCACAAGGGAAAACATAATAAGAAAACAAGAAGAAGAGGCACATAATGATGTAAATATATGTGTGTAATATGAAAATAGATTCGGGGCGACCCGCTTCGGCGTGTTGCATGCATAGGAAGGAAGGAAGGAAGGAAGGAAGGAAGGAAGGAAGGGAGGGAGGGAGGGAGGGAGGGAGCGACGGAAGGAAGGAAGGAAGGAAGGAAGGAAGGAAGGAAGGAAGGAAGGGAGAGAGGGAGAGAGGGAGGGAGGGAGGGAAGGCGAGACAGGGAAAGAAGGTCGTTCTGTGCCTACATAATGCTTAGCGGGGCAAGTTTTGCAGCCCGAAGTCGCTAAGGCGGGCTGAGGCCAAAGAGGGTAGTGTAGGGTGCTGCCCTGCTCTTGCCCAGACGAAAGTGAAAGACATGCCTCTGAATGTGGAAAAGGGTGCTTTGAAAGGGAGCTGATGGCGTGGAGATTCATTAGCTGCATCAAAACCTTTTACCAATGCTGTGTACCCAGAACCCTCAGGTCCTCGCCGCCTCGAGCGTTTCCTGCGCCAGGGCAGCATCCCCCAACTCACGCTGGGCCACCTGACGCAGCGCAGGCTGAAGACTTCGGTGTGCGACGTTAGCGCTAGCAACATCCAGCCAACATGCGACATGTGCATATAGCGTGGCTGTGGCTTGTACGATGTAAGGACAGACGCAAAGAAGAATCACGATGACTCCAAGGAAGATCTTTGAAGCTCTCGTTTGAGGTTCTGATGGGTTCTGCCATTTCCGGTTGCAGATCCTGAAAAGACTTCCAAGCCCCAAACAGCTGGAAGCCGAAGAAGACAGGAAAACCAATCCCCGGCTTCAACCTGCCGTTTGGGGGAACATCCGCCCATGGAAGCCGAAAAACATCCTCTCTCAAACCCTAACATCCTAAACAAGATCCTTTCTTAAACCCTAACATCCAAAAACAAAACAAGCCCCCACCAACATCCGCATCCCTGGCCCTCCCTTCACGGGCCCCGAGGCTGCGAAGGGCTCGTGCGGCCAGCAGGGTGTCTTGGCCGCCCTGGGCCTGAAAAGACTTGGTGCATGCGAGGTGCTGCTTTGCAGCTTTTTGGGAAGACACTTCTCGATTGCGGGTGCTTGGGAAGGAGACTTTCTGGGGAGGTACCAAGACGAGCAGCCTCAAATCCCGCGATGGCTTCTTGCAACGCTGCTCTGGCCATCGAAAAGTTTTGCGCTGCAAGGTAGGCCATGCCTGCAAGCAACTTGTGCGAAAACTGGAATGCAACTCGCACAAGAATGTCAGAACTCCTGTTTTCGAGACATCGGTTGTGGTTGTGAGTGGGGAGTGCCATTTCTTCTTGCGTTGGAGCGCTTTGGACTCATCCGATTTCGGTTAAGCATGCACCCGGGTTTGTGACCAGGAAGCGCCCGGGCCGACCCTCAGAATGGGGAGGGGGGGGGGGGGGGGTGAGCTGATTAACCCGAGGTTGTCATCGTCTCATCAGTGCACAGGATAATATGAACGTTTGCCTCAGCATGTCTATAGCTACATCGATCCAGGGCTCATGCACGCAAGGGCCGTGGATGCAGTGGGCGGAACTTTTTCTCCTAATGTGGAAAGAGGAATTGCATGAGTACATGGTAAATCATGATCATCATCATGGTGACGACCTTTTGGTGGTTACTTTAGAAAAATTAGCCAGGCAGGGAAACGGACCGGAGCACCCGGGAACCGGAGGACCAGGGCCTGGAGGACCCGGGCACCGAACGACAAGCGACCAGACGACAAAGGACCACCAGGGGACCAGTCGCCAACCCTGCCAAGCCTTGGAGAAAAAAACATGCATTCAACGAGATACACCCCTCAGGCCGTCATGCGCGACGTTGATATAGTGGCTTATCGGCTAGACTCTACCGCGGCTAGATTAGGGACATATCAAGGCGTGTCGGGTTTGGAGTCTGGGGACGGTAGAACATTTTAGGAGCATAATCAAGGTCATATGCAGTCCCACAACTCCTGTACGGTCGGCAGAACGGCCTACACTGCCTTGAAACCCGGGCAGCCCCAGACCCTAAACCCTAGCTCCGCGCCCAAGGCTGTCGATGCGCGCGGCGACCGGGACCGCATATTTCGCAGCTCCTGAGCTTCCGGCACGGCACCCGTGAGCAAAGTTCGGATCCATTCCCAACTGTGCATGCGACTCTTGACCGACACTAGTTGGCCCTTGTCACCTGGATCGCATCATCTGGCCGGCCAGCCCTGAGCATCAAACGTGGTCCCTCTTTCAAAAACGCCAGCTGCGCTGAGTTAAAAAATAACGACATTTCTTCCGCTTTTAACAGACCTGACCGCCGTAGATGCTTCCATCTGTCGCTATTCTATGATATGCGATGACGCAATGGCAACAAGAAATTCTCATCCTCCAAAAGTTGCACCAAAGCTGCTGAGGTGCTCTTCGAGTATTCAAGTCCAGAAAAACGATTCATGAAAAAAATCGCTGGGCCTCAGCAGCAGCTCGCACCGCACAGTCCGGACGAGAACTGCTTCGGGCGGCTCCGTTTCTTGCGCCTCTCCATCGCCTCGACTTTCCCAAGCCGCAGGGCACGAGAGATCATTCTGCTAGCATGTCATGTTGGGATGTTCCCCCTTATACGAGCAGTCCTTAGTAGGGATTATGATGGGGGTACTATAATCCCTATTCAGGACGGTTAGTATAAGGAGGAGCATCCCTGCAGCGCAAAACCTCGCCTGAACCTTGGAGCAGCCTGAGCGCCCCCTCAACCTCCTGAAGCGCGTCGAGGACATTGCCTCCTGCGCTGCCAAAGCCCAACGCTTTCTATGGACGGGTTCTATCGGGTGGCGAGGATAAGGGTCCCTTCTAGGTTACATATATCCATCTGGATAATGCACGCCTTCAAATTTGACCAAAACTTTCTTTGAGATCCCATGCTCCCCGATCCGCCCTCCAGAATTAGAGCAGCAAAGCCCCCAATCTTCTGAGTCCGCCTCTTAGTGGAACGCCTAGAGACCTTACTCCAAAGCCCTATAAGCCCTATAATTTGAGAGCCCAGACCCGACCCACACCGCTCCTTGAGCCATGGCTGCAGCCCGTCGGGCTGCTAAGGCTGCTCGGAGCGGTGCCGCAAGCCTTTGCTTTGATGGGTAGGCTAAGGATTTCGGGTGAAAGTTTGGGTCTGAAATGATGTTCTTTGTGGCCCGGAACTCCCCGCCAGCTTGGGGGTGCAGTAGAAGTCAGTCACTGCAGTAGCTCGAGTTCAACCGTTCAAGATGGTCTGGTCGAGAGGGGCCAGAAACTTCTTAACGACGGGCTCAGGTACGTTGCCTGGTGCAAGACAGACAACGATCAACCCTGCATGATGTGATGCATTTGAACTCCACATAGGACTCCATCCCGTATGCCCTAACCTCAACAGCTGCCCATCATCACCAAATTCCTAGCCGAGCCCTTCGGCACCTCAAGTTCGTGTCGAGCTCTCGCTGAGCCTTCTCGAACCACTCCTGGGCGAGGTGGAAGGGCTCTAAGGACTCAGGTGCAGTCTCTCGAGGTCTGTGTTGGTGCAAAGGTGGAATCGCGGGAATGGCCATGTGCAGCCCGAGTTGGGGGGGAGTTTGGGGATGCCAGGGCACAAGGGCGCCGTCAGCAACTTGCTCATCCAGATAGGTGTCTCCGATCCTGCAGCTGATGGAGGCTCCAGGAGGGTAGCAATGCTGACTGGAAAGCTTCAGGATTGCTTCCCACGGAGCATGCAGGGGCACGCGATGAGAAATTTTCTTCGTCTGGAACCGCAAGTCCCACTGAGGCACGCTGAGGCTGGCCTCATGAAAACCTCAGCCCGTTCGGCTTGGGAGGTGTAGTCACTGCCCATCAGGAGGCCTCAGCGAGAAAGAACTGTTGCCCCCTCTAATTTGTCTTCTTACGTCTTACAAAAGCGGTGTTTCGCAACCCTGGCTGAGAACACAATCTCGAGAACTCTTGTGTGCGATCTTCCACCGATCATGAAGCATGGAAAAGTGCAAAACAAACCATCTATTGCCACCGACAGGGACTATATCAGGATTATCAGGATATGTCAGGGCCCTGAGTCTCGACAAACCTCCGAATCATGGCTGAACGTAACGTCTTCAACTTTAGCCGAGACAAATCTGTCAGCGAAAGGCGGGACTGCCCATATTAACACAACCCGAATCATATGCGCACGAGCCGAACCATACATCATATGCGCACGAGGAGAGATGAAGACGAGTGGCTGACAGCGGCTTCGTAGCATTCCCGGGCCAGCAGACCCTGCGGCACTGGCGCACGTCAGCGCTAATCCCCTGAAGCGAGCTCAACCCTCTCAAAACTGTGCTATTCCAAACCTGAACCCGACACCCCAACTGCCTCACCAGAGGCGGCCGCGGCGTCACCCGCTGCACAGAGCCGAGATGGGAGGACCGCCTGTTAGGGCTCAGCTTTGAGATTGTCGGGTTTTTTGCGGCTTCTCAAGCATTAGGCCCTTGAGCTGGAGTGACCAAGCTCTCTTAACATACTGGCTACAGGCTGGCACAGGGAGTCTCATGCGCTGTAGGCCAGCGAGAAGAGATAATCCATGGGAGATCCTAAGCCCCAAACATCACCAAAACCTACAAACATTGAACCCGAACAGGCCCAAAAAGGACCTATGCATCTCAAAAAGAATCTGCGCTCTTTTTCCCATGGCGCCGATCATATGCCACGCGCACCGGCAATAATAGATGGTGCCAATCCAGCTGCTCTGTGAAGCAACACTTTCATCTAAAGTTCCTATAGCATGTTGTTGGACTCATACTTGCTATGCCATTGCCCCTGCGGGACCGCACAGTGAGTAGGTAAGATTAAGATACTGCCAGTATTCATGGGCTAGACTTCACGTGTGAGTGATAGCATGGGAGAGCGCCCGGAAGAAAGAATCTAGCCTAGGCCCTTCGAGCGCGTCACTTTCCAGCACCAAAAACAGGTTCCAAGCTGAAGGTTTGAACCTCGATCTTGCTGACACCCTCGATGCCAAGCCATCTCTGGACGATCCTGAGTTTGTTGCGCTCACAAGCACGTCCTTCGACTCGACTCAAAATTCGAACAAAGGGGGGGGAGGTTACAATGAAGCACGAGGGTCTCTTCCTCAGGGTAGAATTGCTGCCCAGACCAGTCTTCGAACGCATCGAGACCGAGCTTACCTTCGTTCGCGACCGCAAGACTCAAAACTGATTAAGCCATGGCAGTCTCTCTTCTCCAAACCCGCCATTGTTCCGGGCCACATATAATCTTGAACTCTTTCTTGCACCCGCAGACGATTCGCTGCACGCCTAAAAGGCCGGGTACTCTTCGAAGTGCTGGCACGGCAACGTCCTCACAGCATGGACGCAATGCCAGTCAAACTGGCCAATGTGGGAGAATTCCAACTGCCTTCTGAAACTACTGGCTTAAATTTGGGCATCCGGATCTTCAATGAATCATGAATCATGAAGCTCTGACAAGTGGACATAAGACCTTCTTGCAACCCCCTTGTCCTCTAAGACGCGCTGCACCTCGGTGAGCGATCGCTTCTGATCCTCTTCGCTCCATACGCAGCGCCACTCGCGCGCTAGCGTGTTGTAGTGGATCTCTTTGCAGAGGTAGGCTGAGTTCCTGGTTGCAGGATGTGATGCAGCCCACTTCCTACATGATTGTGATAAAGGGGCCCTGGCCAATTCTGTACCAGTTTGTGGTACTATTATGAACCCGCGACTTATGGCGATGGCTGACGAAGGTCTAGCAAGTCCCCAAGCGCAAAGACATGGTGAGACCTGAAAGGCGTGGCCCGCCTGCACGACTTTTTCCAAATCTCCGACTCATAGATCTGCAGCTGCGAGGCCTGCCCAAGTTCCAACTTTCAGATTCGACTTGCCGGGGGCGGGGGGGGTGAACAAAAGGGGACAAAAGGGGACAAAAGGTGGCAAAAGAGGACATAGAGTCGCAGGCCTGCCCTGGTGTCAGGCTGGAGGGATCCGAAACCAATGGCTTCTCCTTGCATCGCAAGTCAGAATTGGAATTGCCAGCTGAATCACCCGCTGACTTATTTGTCGAAGCTCCTCGGCTTTCACAATTGCCATGCCGCGCGGGTGCACGGGGCGACTGCGCTCTGGGGCGTGCTCCCCCAAGGTCAGGGGTCTTGAGCCAGAAGCCAGTTTTGACCAGGAATCATCACCGGACTCAGATAGCAAAACAACACAAGTTGGCTTCCGAGAGCCCGCTGAATGCCTTCATATGCGTTCGCTGGAGGAGCAGGCGATGCTCCCGGCGGCTTGCTTCATGCGTTCATGTCGGCATTGCCGGCATAGTCCGACAGGTGGGGAGATGATGGAAAAAGAAAGCAAGAAAGAAAGCAAGAGCAGCGAGAGGGGGAAGTCGGAGCACCCAGCCTCCTCGTCATCTTCACGGCAACAACGTGATGGCCTTGACGGGGCCTGGCTTGGTGGTGTTTGGCATTTGGTTGCGTTTGGGGTCCTGGCTGTCGGTTGCACTCCCTGTACCATTTACGATCTTTAGTTCTTCCTTAAATCACCAAAACCTCGGAACTCCTGCTTCCAAACCTGTGTCAAGGCTGCTCTACAAAATGCTCTACAAAAACCCCTCTCCAGCCGACACTCTCCATGCTCAAAGGGCAACTTGACACACACGTGCAGTTCTGGCCCGCGTCGCGTGGGAAGGGCCGTAGCCACGCGGCAGGAGCAGCGCTGGAGGCTGCACCTCAGCTACGTTGGTGATTGCTTGTCTGCTGTACAGAAGTGGCAAGCGTATGCATGACTAACGCTTCTTCTGCCCTCACATTTGCTCTTCATGAGTTCCAGTGCCTCGGACTCTATGACCCTGTAATTCCTATGATGCCCTACGAACATGAGCCCGGCGGCTCCCCAGAAGCCGGCCGCCAACACGCTGAGGCCCAGTGGCCGAAAAGCCATGGGCCGCAGATCAAGTGGGGGGAAGCCCCCCACTTCGGTCTACTGATCTTGGAGGATTCGGGGGCGATGGCTGCACTTGATGCGCAAGAGAGTTTGGGGACGTTCAGTCATTTGGGGCTTCAAGTTGGTATTAAGAGCTTTGGATTTCCGAGTTGTTGCATGCAATGTGGTTAAGTTGCTTGCCCTCTGTGTCCCCAGGTTGAGCTCAGGGGTGAGGCGTGTGCCGGCTTGGGGCGATTCGGCGATTCAGTTGGCCAAATCAGAGCAATATGGACAAGCAGCTCACGCTGTCTGCCCTGTTGGACCCTTTTTTCATGCCGACGGCGATGAAGTGCTAGTCGGGGTACTGTCCGGGGCATCCCCTTTGCCAATGGCCACCTTGAACAGCTTCCTGAGGGAAGCCGTGAAAGATGCAGGCGCCTCGTATTGATCATGACCTCCGGAGCGAAACCACTGGTTCTCCCGCTCGAGGGTCTCCACCTCCTGCTGCAAAGCCTTCAGCTCGCGCCGGCGATGGAGACGCGCCTCGTCGAGCTCTGCAAGTAGCTCTGCCAGCTCGATCTTCGAAGACTTCAATGCATCGGTTTCTGGACCATCCCTGGCCCATTCCCGGCATGCTGAGGCCGCCAGCTGGGCAGCACGCTCTACAGCGGCCCGAGCCGCTGCGGCAGCAGCTTCGAGCTGCTCACGCTGATCTACCTGTGCCTCCAGCTTCTCTTGCAATTGCTGGTGGTTCTCTTTCAGTGCTTGCAGAGCGCGCTGAGCCGCACAAGCCCTGGCAGCCGCTTCTGCCCGAGCGCCCGCAGCTTCATCTGCCAAGCCCTTCTCCTGGGCAGCCTCACGGGGAAGCTGCAGCAAGGCCACCTTCAGCGCACGGAGTGCCTCATAGCGTCCCTGCCGTTTGGCCTGCTCAGCATGCAACTGCACCTGCAGCTCCTCAGCCACTCTCTCCATTTCTGCACCATCGGGCAGACTGGACATGAAGGCTGCAACTTCGTCCACTGTTCGGCCACCAGTGCTCGAGCTGGAGTTCCTGCGCTCCGAACGTGCGGGGGAGTGCTCGGGTGAGTGTTCGGACGAGGGCACATCAGGGGCGGCTGGGGAGGGTGGGGAGGGACCTCTTGCTTCCTCTACGTGCGGCGCATCCTCCATGGCAGCGGTGGGATGGAAGGACACGAAAGCTTCCGCATCGAAGCCGGGTGTCATCCAGGGTTCCACGGAGTCAACTGGCAATTCCAAGGAGCTGTCAACTATTTGGCCAATAGCTTCAGAAAGTACCTCACCAGCTGCAACAGGCGCCCTCGATACGGCACTAAGGAAGTCGCCTTCAAAATGGCGGCGTTCAAAGTCATCGCCCCACTCATTCATCACCTGTCCTGCCCTCATCGGAGCACCTACCAGACTACCCACAAAGTTTCCGTCGAAATGGCGGCGCTCAATTTCGTCGCCCCATTCGTTCATCCGTTGCCATGTGTTTCGAAACATTCCACTGGCTGACCAGCGGCGTTGCTCTTCCAGTGCTCCGTTGTCAAACCTGCTCTCTGAAGCCGACATTGCGGAGCAACGGCTATGAATCGTAACAAGTAAGTTGGACGATGTGTTGCACTCACAGGATTACACATCCGAAACAAGACCAGCGGACCCTGGATTTCCGAAATCATCCGCTACAGGCGAAGCTACAGCCAGTGGCTGAGGATACCATGCCCTTGTGGATGGAGGCTCCCCTCAAATTCGATCCGATACCCCCTCCAAGGGGTCCAGGCGCTTAAATACGCGCCGGTAAGGGATTAAGGGAAAACAGTCGAAACTGAGGTACGGAGTGAACCCCTGTAGGCGGCTTCGTCCTAGACAGGTGTCCCTGTCAAAGTTCCCCCCCTCTGCAGGCCTTCGAGCTTCTACCCGAAATCAGAAGCCCAGAGCGCTAAACTGCTAAACTAAATCCAAAATAAGAAAGAAGACCAGTCAAGGTGTCCGGCTTCTGGGGTGGAGGCTGCCACCTCAGGTTTCGAAGCTCATGGGGCTCATGGGCGTTCAAGGTCTTAAGGGCTCACAGCCTCTTTTAATGAAATGAAAGGGTTTTTGGGTTGCCAAGACCCAAGTGTGCCTTGCAGTGGTTGAATTGAATCCCAGCCCACATCCAGCATGGAACCCTACTGGATCCTACAAGCATGGGCAAAAAACCGCTCTCCCATCCTGAGCCCGGCAACAGCGAACATGGAATCCTCAACCCCACAGTTTCTTCCCTGCGTGGCTTCGTTCAGGGTTGAGGGTTTGGGTTCAGGGTTGAAGGCACAAGCTGGACTAGGCTAAGACTCGAGCCCCCAAAATGGTTGACTTCAAGTTGGCGGCGGACGGCATAGACATAGACTAGCCCTTCAAAAAACAACCAGATTTCAAATCTGAATGCTTGAAGCCTCTAACCTTGTGGGCAGCTCTCTCGCTCGCTCGCTTCTTCTCCTTCTTCTTCTTCTTCTTCTTCTTCTTCTTCTTCTTCTTCTGCTGCTGCTTCTTCTTCTTCTTCTCAGCACTTAGGAGTCCCCCCCGGAGGAGGAACCCGGCCCCGACAGCCAAGCGGGTCTCTCTCTCTCTCTCTCTCTCTCTCCTTTCCTCTCCTGAAGCAGATCCATCTCTAACGGTTGAGAATTCTTGATGCGCTACTGGAAGCCCAAGCAACAGAACTATCAGAACCCCTCAAAACCATTTCATCCATTTCATTCCCCTGCAGACTCCTTTGGGCGCGCGGCGTCGAGGGAGGCGGCCGCGCGTCCGCCAGCGGCGCTGCAGCAGCCCCGAAGTCGACCTTTTAGACATCTACAGTACTCTTTCTCTCTCTCTCTCTCTCTCTCTCTCTCGCTCTCTCTCCTCTCTATCCATATACAGAAAAAACTTGTAGTTGGAATTTTATGCTTCAAGCTTTGGATGGACTAGGGATCGGGTTCGGGCAGGGGTACACAGGACGAGAAGGAGAAAAATGAGCAAACGCTTGGTCTCCCCGCCGTGAGCTCTCGGCCACTCAGGATGTCCTCCACAGCCCAAAGGACAACCTGCCGAGCACAATGACACGCTGCAGTGACCCTGTTTGGGGCCAAGAGGGCCCAGAGCACACAAGTACACTGTTGCAGGACTGGTTTAATCGTTTTGTGTCAGTGAAGTCGTTGAGTCGATGAGCAGCGGCTCGCTGCGGCATGGTTCACGAGTGATACACCCTGGACCCTCTTAACTCTGACCCGCTCCGTGGCAACACTTCATCCTCAAGTCCTGGAGGACCCTCACACACCAACGTCACTGAGCTGCAGGAGGCTCACCTCATCCTCTCCGCGGTAGCTCCACCGACTGGGCAAGCGCATCTTGTTACAGAACCCACAGACACACGCAGTTGCAGTCAGCACAGATGCCACGAAGAATGGAGCTCAAGGGGACTGCACGAAGTCGTGACATCCGGCAGCTGCAACGTCGGAGTCAATGGCTCGACTTCCCGAGCTGATGACAGATTTGGCGTGGCAGCCCGTGTGTAGACCTGGCGCCGACTGGAGCTGTTACTAGGCCCACTAGGAGCCGATAACATGAATGACCCACGGATGTCTGAGGAGCATTTGAAGTTGAAAACAAGATGATCCAGTGGCTCAGTTCGATCGCATCTTGCAAACAGCTTGTCCTAGTCCGCAGATTCTTTCGGGTCCGCGCAGCAGGTGGTCTGTGAAACTAAAGTTTTGCAGCTGGTGGCTAAGCCTTTAAGCGACTTCAGGGGGCCAGTCAAAAGGATCCCCGGTAGCGCAGTGCGTCACATTGCTGTCAAACACAGGCTTTCGCCCTGCAGAACCGCCAAGGAGATCAGTCCTCTGAGACGTCCTGCAAGCACTGGGAACAGCGAAGGATGACTCAAATTGATGGCTAAGGTTGCAATCCCTTGTAGCAGCTTGAGTCTCATTGCATGAAGATGAATTTCTCCGTGTTTCTTGTCGTCGTGATGATCGCTCCTCCGTTGAATACACGCCCCCCATCTACATGCCGATCCCATGAAGTACAGCTGTGCCGTGATGTCTGACATCAACGACGAGTCAACAGCAGAGTATACAAGAGGATGCAAAGCCTTGCCGACCAAATTAGACTAAGTTAGGGAAGAGGCTCCTGATATCATGCACCCTGGGATCCCTCCTTGCGCAGGCTGTCGAGAGAGTCCGGCGCTGCTGGGTAGGTCGGGAGCTCCGGCCACCAGATGCCATGACCGTCGTAGGGATTGTGGTAAAACCATCCTGTGCAGCACACACTCAAGCTTGAGGCTTCAAGCCTGGGGGCTTGGGGGACCGAAGGCCTGGAGCTTGGGCTCACTCTTTCGAGTTCACCCATGCCTGCAAAATCCTGCAAACCCTAACAACCCTTCAGCTGCCAACCCCATCCAAGCCCCCAACTCCCCATAAATCCCACAAATCCTGCGACACAAAGATGCGCTACAAAGGTGCCTCCATCCTCCGCTTGGAAGAGCCTCCATCCCGCGCACACCGCTGCATCCTGCGTTGGCGGCTCCCACTGCGTCGTGCCTGGCTAGATGTCGAGGGCCGCAGACATGCCAAAACTGGAGAACAGTGGCTCTTCTGACATCAGCAATGGTAAGTAATAATAATATATAAAAAAAAATGATACCGATAACAATGATAATAAGGGTGATGATGATGAATTCGACCAAATAACGATTAAGAACATAAACGATACGAGGAGTAACCAAGGGTGCTCATGCTGCTTCGGACATCTTCGGGCTGCACTGCCTGACACGAGGTTGTGGTAGTACACCGCGCCATCTTCGGCAGTTATTGCCTCACGCGACGACTCGTGTGGCTTCAACCAAACTCTCCATGCCGCACGTCCGCAGTTCCCAAACTGGTGCAGCCATGGCTGTTGAAGCGGCTATTGTCCGCTAACCCTGCATCATCGCGGACGATTCTACGGACCCTCGACTGGCCTCCCAGCCATGCGGAAGACCACTCGAAGCGCTTGAGGCGGCGATGAACTCGCCCACATCCTGTCACATGCACTTCAAGGCTTTTGAGCTTCTGACCATCCATGTGTTGAAGCAGCGGGTCTAGAAGCTTCCCCACGGCAACTACGATGGCCTTTTCACTACAATGCTGGCAAGCTGGCGGCTAGCAAGCCCCTGGCTCCTAGACGTTGCCGGCGCGCGCGGGAGACCAACACCCCTCAATCAAGGAATGTTCTCTTTCAATAACACAGCGGCCTTCCTAATATGACTTCTGTTTCTTGATAATTGGGTATTGGATGGTATTGGGTTCAATGGGAACAGACCGACGCTCCGTTGGGATTGGCCTCATCCGCAGCGAGCATAGCAAGGTCATACCTTGCGGCTGGCAGCTTTCGGCGATATGATCCCAAGACTGACACCCTGGGTTTACAGAGTCTGAAAAGCAACCACGAAGTCCTCAGTGCCCCAACAGAGCCTTCAACACCAAGAGAGCCGAATGCGAGGATCCCTGGATCCCTATGCTTCCTCAAATAAGGGGCATTGGGCTCGGTGGGTCCTTTTCAGTCCAGGCCGCAGGTCCGGATCCGCGCGCTCCAGTTCCCCCAAGCACTGGGCAAGGCGCCCACGTGCGGCCTCGCCACGATTCAGCAAATGCACTGCCCCGCCCCGTATGATCATCCTCATGGACAGCCAGAACTACCATATAATTCCCATGCTCTCGGCACCCCCAAAACCTGCACATTTCTAAACCCCATGTTAATAAAATCACGTAAGCCTCGGAAGACGGCTCGCTACCCTTGGTGCAAAAAGCCATGCCTCCAGCTGCGGCAAAACACCGGCAGCCTGATCCTCGGAAGCAAATCCGAATCAGGAAGCCGCTCAACGTATCACAAGCGAGCCAAACAGCCGAAACACGCCAAATATGCAATGCATAATCATAAACCAGGCTTGCTTCCTACGTTGGAAACAGTGAGTAAAAGCCCACACACGCAGTTCTTTGTTGCGGCTACCCACCTCCCTCAAAAAACGGGCCTCGAGGCCGTGCACAACACCACCGACGTACATAGGTGTTTCGCCAAGTTTCCGCTTTGGCTTTGGCCACCGGCCCCGTCGCCGAGTTCGTTGAGTCCCAAAGGGTGGCAGCCTGCTTATGGCAACTCGTTCGGAGAGACATCAAGATGGCCGTGGTGTCTATGGCATTTATTTTGAGATCCCCCTGCGCTTTGCTAATGGCAAACTGCTACACCTTCAGAGATCTGAAACCTCTTCGGGCTAAACGTTTGAGCATGCTGCACTGGCCCTGGGATTGGGAGTCCGAATTCTGATGTCTACAATAAGCAGGACTCAGAAACCCAAAGGCGAAGAGAAGATCAACTCTCCTGCATGGCCTCCTGCCACGCAGACTCCACCACCGCCAAGGCTGAGCGGAGTTTCCTCATGTCTTGACGCCTGACTGCACCAGATGCTGGCAGCCGGCCCAATCGCTATGCCAGGCTATGTCCAATATGTCCCGAACATCATACATGGGCCAGGGTACTGCAACACAACTTCGCACTGCTCGGGATTGTCAGTCATTGAAGTTAGAATTGTGGGATGCTTTCGCCAGCCCTACACCCTGGCTTCGATTGGCTTGGCGGCCTGTGAGAGAGAAGGCCTTTTAACCAGAGCTATTGTCTTGTCAGAAGCCTGGAAGCACGGATGAAAGTTTGCTCCCAACAAAGCCATGGGATTTCCTGCCCAGGAAACCCTGAGTCGCCTCGGCGCTGCAGCAATCGAGTAGACGTCCTCCCATTTGATCTGCTAGTGGGCTTGCTCCACAATTGCCATCTCAAAGAGATTAGTGTGTTAGTGCGTGCGTGCGTGTGCGCGTGTGCGCGCGTGTGGGTGTGCGCGTGTTCGTGTGTGCTCGTGCGTGCAGGCGTGAACACGCGCGCACGTGCTGGCACGTGCTTGCACGTGCGCTTGCGCACGCATGTGCGAGCACGCGTGTATGCTGCGCATGCGGGTGTTCGTGCGCGTTAATGTTCGTGATAGTGTTCGAGTTAATTTCAGTGCTAGTGCTAGCAGTTATGCAAATGTTGGTGTTGCGTTAGCGTGTGTTCACGTTCTGTGTGAGCGTGTGTTAGTGCATTAGTCTGTGTTAGTCGACGTTAGTACGTGCTAGGTAGAGTGCGTCAGCGTGAAGCAATGTGCGCCAGTGTGCATCAGTGTGCGTTAGCATGTTACATGTGTCAGTTTGGGTTTTTGTGTGTGTGTGTGTGTGTGTCTTTTTTTGTTGCGTGTGTGGTCGTGTGCTAATTTTCGTGGGTGGGCGAGTGAGTGGGTGTGTGCACCATCTGGCACCCCACATGTCCAACTCAGCGTTCTCCTGACACAAACACCCCGGAACTCGAACCCCTCCTCGAGCTCAGGAGAGAGCCCTCGGGCCATGAGGTCTGCGCGGGCGCGGGCCACATCCAGGAGGCTCCTTGAGGCTTCAGGTTCCGGCTTCCCAGGACATAAGCTACAGAAGCGCATTGAAGCAGCAGCATAGGGTTGTGGCCACTCGAAACCATCTTGGGAGCAAAGGAAAGCCAATTATGAACGTAGGAGGTTCTCATAGAAGCTGCAGCCTGGCCACCCCACCGCCTCACCAACCTCCCGGCTTGCTGCCTGGAAACAGTTCAGCCTCAAAGGGGAACTCAACTTGACTCAGCTTGACTGAACTACACGTCTGAAAACTATGACCCCTGCATCTCCCATACTGAAAACGTCCAGTGGCTCATGGGATTTGTTTAGCTGGGCACAGCTAGGCAAGAAGACTCGGAATTACTTTTCGACGCTCTGGACATCATGCATGCGCCCGCGCACACAGTTGGCTTGTGGAACATCAAGGAGAGAGTGCAACCAGGGCTTTCGAGCTGCTGCAGCTGGGCATGATGTTGCAGCACTTCACCTGCCTGCAGGGCGCTATCTGATTGCTTCACCGCTCCCAGGACTGAGCTTGCAAACTGCATGTGGCTTGTTGAGAAGGGCCAAGCTGATAACATATCAAACATGCTTCCTCGCTTGAGAGGATCGTACTCCCCGACCACCGAAAAGCACCCATAGATGGCCCGCCTGCAATGCCACGGCCTCCTCACGCTTCTTGAGCTCGGCGATCGTGGTCTGGGTGCGCTCCTTCCCTGCCTGCAGGACAAGAGTGCCAAGAGCAAGAAGCCTTGAAGGACGGAGCCCGTGATGGCATGTCGCTCCCGCTTTTTTACATCAAGGTTCGGCCAGGCCCCCCTGCGGTGTTCATTTTGCATGGCCCCTGGTCCTAGACCACATTGTATTGTAAGTATTCCGCTTTCCGTTCAGATCCCGCACAAGCCTAGCAACTTCATCTTGCAGAGTCTGGTCAGTTCACAACACATCCATGACCTCCGTCTGCAAAAACCTTGAGCCCTGCCGCTAAACCTCTAAACAAGCTCCCTCTGCCAGGCCGTGGCAAAACGGCGCTGGAGCTGGGCCCAGCGTTCGGTGGTGCGCTTCAGCGCCCCTACCAGCTCACCTGGCGCACACTCACTTCGTGAAAACCTACATCTATTTCTGATGTTCAAGGCAGGTTTGCCCATTTGCAGGATCCCTTTCGAAAGAGTGTCCCATACGAGTCACTTAACCCTTAAACATAAAACTGCAGCCCCCAACTATGTTCACGGGAACATGCCAAGTAAGGGACCTTTGACTGAAGGAATCTTTAGCCTTGGGGGCATGTGACCATGTTTCTTCGGGCGTCGGGTGTTTGGCATTCTGTACCTCGGCAGGGAAAAGATGTTCCCCCGTGTAAGTTTAGTTCAGTCTGGGAGCAGGGACCCTTTTGAACCGGGCTCTCTGAGGTGCCAGCACTGGAGCAGTGGGCAACCCTGAACTCCCTGAAGCCGGCATGCCTTCAGTCATGTTCGCGGCTCGAGGCGACAGCACCTCCGTGTTGGGATATGGTAGCAAACTAAGATCACATTTTCGTACCTGCCCTCATATTACCCGATATGGCTTTTGCCTTTGAGGGTATACACCGGCTTCGACCCCGATCTCTTGGGCCTGTGCTCAATGGAAATTGACGCCAGCCTATCCACAACACCTTTTCGGGTAACAACGGGCAAAGAAAGATGGGAAACTTTCAGCACAGCCAGATGGAGCAAGGCAATGCGAAGGCCATGAGCGGCGCCCAGCCTTGTAGAAACCGGCCGGTCGCAAGTCCTGCATGGGCAGCATTTTCTAGCTATTCTGACAGATTGATGTTGAACTAGCTCCCCAAGCATAAGGACTCAGCGTCTGCGCCAATCCACAATCCAGGACTGACTGAGGGTGTTTGCACTTCAAGAAAGAGGGTTGTTAGGTCACTTTGTGCAGACGGTTTCCTATCATGTAATGTCTGAGTACACTTCCCAACAAAGGGACCGACTTCAAAGAACCCCTTTATCTCCAAACAACAAGTCCCAAAGCCTAAAGAAAACGTGCCATGGCCTGGAGCTCAGATTCCAGCTGCGAGGTCTTCTGGCGGTGCTTTGCCGTCACCTCCACCAAGCCCAGACTCGTGAGAGCTCACGCACCAGCAAGCTCAGCACGAAACCTCTGCTACTGAACTCTCCTACTTCATACAGATCGGAGTGTGAGTGTGCATCCTGGGCGGGAGGAGGATACAGAAACGCATAAGGAGAGTTCTCTTCTCCCTGCCAAGTCGCTTCTGCATGCTGCTGCAGCAGCGCCATACGACTGTCACGAGCCTGAAGCCAGACATGACGTGCAGGGAATCCTGCAAACTCGCAGTGGCAAGCACGCCTCAGGCACTGAAAGAAAACCATGCACGCAGCACGCGGTTCCGAGGCTCTGCTGCTTCTCGCCAGCTCTGCTCTTGCAATGGCATCTGAAAGTGTGTAAGCTACATTCGGGGAAGTCTTCTACATTAGTCTGCACCACCAAGTACAATACATCTGAATCATCTGAAAACTGGTCGTACTTCTTGCCATTTGCAAGCATTAGTTGATGAAAAAGCAACAGTTGCGGGGAAACAACTCTCTGTCGTGTGATCGGCCTGGGCCAGCTTTGTTGAAGTAGCCTCAAGCTCTTGCAGAACCTGCCGACGCTGCTCCTGCAAGGAAGGCAATGAGAATATGACTGTGGCCAGCTGGGCCTTAGAAGCCCTAAACTTATACGGCAACGGATCGGCAACAGGCCTGCAGGCAACTCTGAACCCCCCCCCTGTCAATGCAGAAAACATTAGCCCCAAATGGAATCCACCTCCAAGCTGCGGATCTCTTCCTCCACCTTGACCTGCAGGGCAGGGGGTGTTCCAGTCACTGAGTAAGCACGATGCAAAGCTTGAGAGGATCCCAACTCCGAACTCCATAATGCAGGGAGGGGTTTGCGAGGCACATTTTTCCACAACACCCTCGTGAGATTCTAAGTCTCCTCGCCTCCTCGCCTCCCGAGAAGCCTGCACAGAAGCCCCCGCCGAGTACCCCTGCAGTGTCCACCCTGTGAGAAGCCGCAAAGAGTCCCGCCGAGTATCCATCCTTCACAGAAGCCCACAAGAGTCTCCCCGAGCATCCCTGGCATGCCCACCCTCAGAGAATTCTGCAATGTGCTGTGTTAAAGGGGGGCTCAACTAAAACCAAAAGCCTACAGAACCGGGTTCCTTGACGGGAGTCCTGTTTTAACAAGCCCCAGGAATAGAATGGAGATAAATAGTGCTCACTGAAACGCTCGCAATTGCAAATCCTTTGGTTCATTATGTCATTATCCATGCATTTTTGCACTCAGGTTCGTTTCACGCATTTTCCTACATAACGGGGAAACGGGAGTCCTCGTCCCTCAACCGAACTGAAGCTTCGCTGTTGTCTCGCAATAACTAGGGCAGGACTAGAACTTGGTGCAGCTACAGATGCTGAGGTGTCATGCTGTGTCATGTTGGAGACAAGATGCGGTGAAGCTACAACTCCCCTAGCCCTCAACAGTCTTCAAACCTGAACTGCCAGCAAGGTTCGCCAGATTTTCGGCTGTAAAGCAGGAATGGGCGGGGCGTGCGGCTTAGGAAACCGTCTAGAGTCACATGATTCAGATGGTTCACGCTACGGTCATTGCCGGGCCCTTCATGGATGACTAACCACGCCATCTCATGCCATCTTCTTGAAGCCGTCTGAGGAGACGTGGTAGACATCGCTCCAGTTCTCATCCATTCGGCTAGATGTTCTAATTTCCAAAGCTTCTTTTCCCCATTCACCTAGCCAAGCCACGGAAACGCCTCCATACATGCCAGGCATGGGGATAAACGCTGCCTCCTGGACGTCGTTCTGCATCTCCTCTTTGACCGACTCAAACTTCGCTAAAACTAAATCCAGGTGGCGACCATTCGCATACTTGTGCACCAGAACTTCCAGCAAGTCTCGAAGCGCGTCCCAAACATCTCCCTTGCATTGAACAAGGTGGAGCGTCACGCGGTATTTTTCATCTGGGTCAGAAGCATGAAAGTCTTGAACCACGGCTCTCCAGCGATCTTGATCAAGCTCGCCCTCGCCAAGCAGCAATCGCTGCATGTAGGGGCGGATCCCAGTGAGTTTCTCCACTTCAGACTGGACTTCCTGAACAGAGAGAAACGGTTCCGCATCCAGCGTGCACATGTGTGTGCCTGACAGCGCAAGCACTTCCAAGTGGATGCTACCAAAAGTCCAGCACCTGTTTCGCAGCTGCTGGCACATATCATCGTCCAGATGCTCTCCAGCCAGCTGTTTGCGGACAGTCGCCAAGGCTGCTGGCAAGTCAAGTTGGCAATCCTGCATGAGAAACGCAGCAATGCTGGCAACAGCATGACACATGCTGACGTCTTCAAGTTCAGCGTGGAGCATTACGCGGCCACCCGCCTCAAAAGCACCGCAGACAAAGGGCAGGACTTGGGTCAAGGTCGGCTTCAGATGCTCTTTGCGCTGGATTGGGAAATGTCTGTACTCCGAGCAGCTCCCCATAGCGGAGCGGCTTTTCCAGCAACGCAAATCTGCAACATGCGTAATGCCTAACTGATCTACAGCTGTCTCATCGGGGGTTACTCTGCCAGCCACGAACAGCTTCCCCTCCAGGATTTCTAAGGGGTACGAGGGCAAGCCAAGCCGTGAGGCAGTTGCTAAGAAAGGATACGCCTCTTGGAAGTCCTTCAGGTGCACCTGCAAGAGACGACGACAACCAATTGCTTGGAACAGCCAGCGTCCCATTTCTACGGGCTCTGACCCACCGCCTGCATCTAGGAGGATTGCGAGCGTAGTGTTCTCAGGCTGAGCATTTTTGCACACATCTTGCAGGAAAGATTCCGACAGGCTGTCGATTGGGATCGTGTAAGCCCACGACACTGCCTGCGGCTCTGCCATTGCACTGCGTTCCATTATCAGAAGGTCTTCACGGACCAGCAAATTGAAGGCTTCAAAGACAGGAGCTGTCTCCACCACACAGCCATGCTCCATGCGCAGGAGGTTGCTCAGCAGCTGTTGGGCAGACCCGCTGAGCAAGAGAGACAGCTGAAAGGGGAAAGTTGTGCATGAACTGATGGTCTAAGGCGAAGGCTTCTGTGGAAAAATTAGGTTGGTGTTCCTTCTGCGGGGTACTAGTACCGATACACCTATAATTATCACGGCGGCTTCCTGCTGCTGCTTATGCAGAGGACAAGCGCCTGGTTAGTGTCTGCCTCCACCTCCTGCACTGCTTTCAGCGGTGCCTCACAACACGTGCAAGGCAACTCAGGCAAACTGTTAGGCGGGGAGCATCACCGGACTCAACGCTCGGCAATCATAGAGACCGGCGGCTATTGATTTGCAGGCCCACTCCGACAACCGACTGAATCGAAGATGAAAAACTGCGAGAATCCCACTGCAGTCACGAGCAGCAACCTCTGTCATCCCAATCCGACATCGAACAACCGGACAGAACGGAACATTGGCACCTCGAGGGCAGCATCCCGTTCTTTGAGGATGGCCTTGACAGTGATGATTCGCCAAGATAATTGCTAATAATTGCAAATAACTAATGATGATAATGATATGACACTGATAATGACAATGACAATGACAATGACAATGGCAATGATGTTGTCATGAGCATAGCATTCTTGCTATCCCATTGAGCTTACTGTCGGTACTGTTTAACTGGTTAAGACAAACTGTGTCGTGTTTTGCCATGGATCTAATTAATGGATTGCGGGCGCTAGCTTGATTGGCACCTGGGCTTCGGAACCAGGTAACGCATGAACCACGACATGCAGCGAGCATCTGCGTGTGGAAACTCGGCACTGGCGCCGGAAATTACGGACGCCTGTATGCGAGTCCCACCTCGCGGCGCTCGTGGGCCTCGGTGGCTCTTTCTTCGGCTGCTGCGCTCGTTGCGGTCAGCTGGCGCTGAGCCTTGAAAAGCCGGATAATCAGGACATCGAAAGGAACGTCATAGAGGGATATGCCATATGCCAGAAGCCAGCATACTGTGCTGCAAGCACCTAAGGTTTAGGGCCTTAGGGCTTACATTGGTCAGCCGGAAGCCGAAATAGCCTCAGCCCAGCAGGCAGGTTTAACTAGTGATTAATGGAACCGTGGACCATATTTTGATACGAAAAATACCTCCAAAAGCATGCTGTTCAAGGCCTCCTGCAGCCGTTGTTGGCGTTCAGACCGCACGGTCTCAAGTCGGCGCTTGGCCTTCCAAGGATGCAAAGGCACGAACCGGGAGCTCCACAGCTCTGTTTGCCTCGTCCAGGCCCATGCGGAAGCCGATGTAGTGCTTGATGGCCTACGGAGGCCAGACGATTTGAGTTGGGAGCTATTTGGGCAATGGCCCAGGCTTTGGAATAAGCCTATTTGCTTCGGGCCTCAGAGGGGGCGAAACATACTACCACAGCATATTGAAACCTCTACGAAGCCATTAGTCATCACTAGTCTCAACAAAACTGACACTTGAGAGCAAAGCGAAGGAAAGCTAGGTCCCCCAAAGGTGGCAGTCAAATGATTGCTTAGTCGTGGCAGGCGACTGACGCTTTCGAGCTTTGGGGGAGTTGCAAGCGGTAAGCTCAGATGGCCTGGCAGAACTCATTGAATTACGCATTGGGCTTACACTTCTTGCAGTGTGTTGAACAAAGCTGCAGGCCCTTAGGAAGAGGGGGAGGGCCCCGTGTGACCTCAGGTCCCAAGTCCTCTGGTCCAAGACAGAAGTTGTCAACAAAAACTCCGGCAAGCCCAAGCAAACAATAAAGCCCCGTGACGTTGATTCAAACACAAACCGGGGACGATTCCTACCAACACATCATTGACGTTGCGCACCGGTTTGTGACCTTCTAAGGTTCCAAAATGCAGCTCTGGGAAATTATGAGCAGCTGAACTGTCAGTCAGCCACACAATAGCGCCTCTGCTGAGGAGCGACAAGTCGCCTGCCAGCGAAAACGATCCGCTCCAAGCTTAGGCTGTCAGGGCCCAGATCAATTTTCCACTACCAATCCGAGGTCGAATGGGCTAAGACTGTGCGAGTTGCAAGAATTCCGGTCTACAAGCAGCTGAATCGAGAGTCCAGGCGTAGTCAGGTGCCCACTCTAAACTCCCTAAATCCTGGGAAATGCCGAAAATTGCTGCGGGATGGATTGGGAGTCAGGTAGCCGGCCTCGGCAGCCTTGGAGTTCGATGGCCCTGCCCAGTGACTTCTGACCCCTCTGAGGTTCCAAGAACAGCGGCCCAAAAGCGACTCTAAACGCTGAACCTGCAAGGAACTCCCAAGAACTCTGCGCGCTGAGCTGGCCGAGGTGGCCTCTTTGCTGCTGCTGGGCGCGTATTTGAGCCCTCACCTCAGCTCGCCGGATTTGCCCCAAGCAAGCCCACAACATCCCCCAATCAAGGAAAAGCCCCGACATCGTATTCGGGCCCCAGGAAAAGGGGCAATTCGACGTAACTAGTCGGTTCTCTCATCCATGGCTCTGACCCGGCCAGGCCTCTTCGGCTTTTTCGGCCGCCACAGCTCGTTGGCTGCGCAGGTGCTCGGTGTGTGCATCGACCTCAGCGCTCTGCGAAACGTGGGCGGATACCCACAAAGCATGAAGATAACGTGGCCCGGCACCTTAAACTGCCCAAACCTATTGGAGCCTTGATTGCCCCTTTAAACCCTAAACCCTGACCCACCCACCCTGCCTCGCCCCCACCGCTCCCGGCCTTCAGAGCCAGTGCCACCTCCTCTGCCCAGCGCCCGCTGTCAGGAAAAGGCCTGTCTTGCTTTGCTTTCGCTTCGCTTTGCTTTGGGCAGGCTTCCGTACAGGACCCACTTGTAGACTGGCATTCTCATGACTCGGATCCGTAGTCAATGAAGTCTTGAAGTTACACTTGGATCAAAAAACGACAGCATTAGTTGCTCCATCGACAGGCTCTCGGCTTAATTTTGTTTCGAGAGGCTTGACTTCTGCCATCAGCGAAGGCATCGCAAGCAGTCTCTGGTCACATCCAGGAAGTGCGATCGCCTGATCAGCCAGCGGAGGAAGGCTGCTGTTGCACTGCTCGCTCTGGCTTTCAACAGCGACGATGCAGCTCGATTTCAGGCAGGTTGCTTTGCAAAATGCCTGCCATACTTTGCCTCAGCACTTCAACACATCGCTAAGTAAGCAATGTGGAGTCCAGCATGGGCCGAAGGGAATCAAAATGCAACGAGCGTCATGCCAGCCAATCCAGAATGGATCAGACTTTCAGCGATCATGCACAGGCAGAACACAAGTGCATCTTTACTCTCAATGCGAGTGAGACGTACAGTGCTCGGTAGTACTCGGCGAAACTCCAAGCCCGTTCCGAAAACAAGCGCGAGTCCATCCTGTCTTGAGCCATGCTGCAGGATTCTAGCTGTGGCACGGTGGAACAGCGACGGTTTGAGGCAAGACCTGGGTGGCTGAGAAGTTGGCATTTGGGTTTGATATGTTTGCAAGCTGGCCATCGACGGTGGCTGTCTGAAGTATCTAGATACTCGGAGAAGTCTGTCATCGTCTACCGACAGCATCCGAAAGCTGCCACTGCCACGGTCACCAGTGTCAGCAGTGAATGCCCAAACTCTCCTCCCAATTCAGAGAAGCACCGCTCGCCGCAGTCTGCAAGCACAACGCGCAGGCCTGCAGGAGGCAATGCTTCAGAGCTGCATGGAGCAGCCTATAAGCAGATAAAATCACAAACACCTGCAGACAGAAAGGTGTCGCCTTGGAGGCCAGAAAGACCGTGCGGAAGGTCATGAACACATTGCCCTGAGGGCTTTCCTGTGGCGATTATGCAGCGCTTCTGAGATTCTTACATGTATGTTCTTTCACGGAAATCTTCTCATGAGCCGGCAGGAAGCCAGTGGCCAGCTGTGGGCCACTCGTATTGCCAGCCAGCACCACCTGAAATTGGAGGCTTACCGGCGGCGTTCGTTGCTGCAAAGGTTCGTATCGAGGGGTGTCATCTTGTGCAGCCAACAGCTTCGCCCATTCCTCGCACGCGCGCTCATTCATTCGCATTCATGCTACAGAAGGCCGACAGCGACAAAACTGTTAATCGCCACAGAAAAGAGGAGGAGCGACCGAGGGCCTTAAAGTCGCCTGGATTGGCTCTGACTTAGTGCCATGAGCTTCCAAAACAGCTTCAGAACACAAAACTTCCTAAAGCAAATGATTGCTGCCATGTGGTCGGTAAGGGCAACCTCGAGCGACTCTGGAGCACCCGACCTGGTCGGACATTTCTTACTGGGACTTTAGAGCTTAGGCTGTTCTTCTTGTTGTTGCTGTTGTTGCTGGTGCTGCTGCTGGCGCTGTTCTTGCTTTTGGGGCCTCTGGCTTTGAACTGCAAAGCCTCATCCATGCAAGCCCCTGTGCAACCCAAGCTGCGCCCGACTCTCCAGGTCGTCTCGGAGGCCGTCCGTACTGAGGCCTGGTGGCTTCGATGCTCACACTCGCACGAGCAGGTATGGCAACCGTCCGATGGCTACACGTCACTGCTCAACATTGAGTGCTCAGGCTTGCTATGTGCAAGAAGCTAGGTCGGACTGCTGGTGTCTCCTTCTGGCTGCGCACTAAGGTGGGGATCTTGTGAAGCTCTGAATCAAACCTCTGTGCCACGCGGCCAAGGACATAATGATTCTAGATTGGACGAGTAATGGCGCTGCATCAACCATAAAAAGTGGACATCCAGCAGTCGGCTTGTACTTGCCAGACAGGTCGAAAAATCGTTAAGCATGGCAGGCGCGGAATGAAGCAGACACGCCCGAGCAAAGAAAGAGAGAAGACAGAACGGTGAGAAGAATGTCGAAACTCAAGGTAATGTGACATTGAAAGAAGCCCGGGAAACAAGCGTTAAGGGGAAAGGCAAACGACTGCCTTAAACAACTACGAAAG